AAAGGGTGGCTATTTGAAGAATCTCAAATATATTTTGATTTGTTTAACACTTTTTTGGTTACTACATGATTCCATATGTGTTATTTCATACTTTTGATGTCTTCACTATTATTCTACAATGTAGAAAAAAAGAATACTTGAATGCGTAGGTGTTCTAAAACTTTTGACTGGTAGTGTAAGTATTCAGACCCTTTACTCAGTACTTTGTTGAAGCACATTTGGCAGGGATTACAGCCTCAAGGCTTCTTGGGTATGACGCTACAAGCTTGGCACACCTGTATTTGGAGAGTTTCTCCCATTCTTCTTTGCAGATCCTCTCAAGCTCTGTCAGGTTGGATGGGGAGCGTCGCTGCACAGCTATTTTCAGGTCTCTCCAGAGATGTTCGATCGGGTTCAAGTCCGGGCTCTGGCTGGGCCACTCAAGGACATTCAGAGACTTGTCCCGAAGCCACTCCTGCGTTTTCTTGGCTGTGTGCTTAGGGTCGTTGTCCTGTTGGAAGGTGAACCTTCGCCCCAGTCTGAGGTCATGAGCGCTCTGGAGCAGGTTTTCATCAAGGATCTCTCTGGACTTTGCTCCGTTCATCTTTCCCTTGATCCGGACTAGTCTCACAGTCCCTGCTGTTGAAAAACATCCCTACAGCATGATGCTGCCACCACCATGCTTCACTGTAGGGATGGTGCCAGGTTTCCTCCAGACGTGACGCTTGGCATTCAGGCCAAAGAGTTCAATCTGGGTTTCATCAGACCAGAGAATCTTGTTTCTCATCGTCTGAGCGTCTTTTTGGCAAACTCCAAGCGGGCTGTCCTGTGCCTTTTACTGAGGAGTGGCTTCCGTCTGGCCATTCTACCATAAAGGCCTGATTGGTGGAGTGCTGCAGAGATGGTTGTCCTTCTGGAAGGTTCTCCCATCTCCACAGAGGAACTCTGGAGTTCTGTCAGAGTGACCATTGGGTTCTTAGTCACCTCCCTGACCAAGGCCCTTCTCCCCTGATTGCTCAGTTTGGCCAGGCGGCCAGCTCTAGGAAAAGTCTTGGTGGTTCCAAACTTCTTCCATTTAAGAATGATGGAGGCCGCTCTGTTCTTGGGGACCTTCAATGCTGCAGAAATGTTTTGGTACCCTTCCCCAGATCTGTGCCTCAACACAATCCTGTCTCGGAGCTCTACGGACAATTTCTTCAACCTCATGGCTTGGTTTTTACTCTGACATGCACTGTCAACTGAGAGACCTTATATAGATAGGTGTGTGCCTTTCCAAATCATGTCCAATCAATTGAATTTACCACAGGTAAAAAATGTATGCACTCATTAACTGTAAGTCAATCTGGATAAGAGCGTCTGCTAAATGACTAAAATGTAAATGTAAATGTATCTCTCCCATATATCTCCCCATACAGTATCACCATGGGGTGGGCTGCCAGAAGGGTGACGGTGGCCATCCCACCTATGTCTACCCAACAGAGCTGAAGCAGTTGATGCGCACTGTGTTCCCAGAGGACGTCTGTGACTACCCTGACCCCTGCCACGCACAGGTCAGACACAGAGGTTAAAGGTCAAATATGTGTTTGAAGCAAAAGCCTTTGCTATGGGTTCTGCTCTTGACTTGGATTGGTATTCACACTAGGTTTATAATGGGTTATATCAGTATTGATTCCCTTTACTTTACTATTTAAATGTTATTCTACATTATAGAATTCTGCTGCTGGCTTTATAAAAGTGCTCTGTTGTGTTCGGAGTATAAACACTCTTCTTCATGACCTACAGTGGGGAAAAAAAGTATTTAGTCAGCCACCAATTGTGCAAGTTCTCCCACTTAAAAAGATGAGAGAGGCCTGTAATTTTCATCATAGGTACACGTCAACTATGACAGACAAAATGAGGGAAAAAAATCCAGAAAATCATATTGTAGGATATTTAATGGATTTATTTGCAAATTATGGTGGAAAATAAGTATTTGGTCAATAACAAAAGTTTCTCAATACTTTGTTATATACCCTTTGTTGGCAATGACACAGGTCAAACGTTTTCTGTATGTCTTCACAATGTTTTCACACACTGTTGCTGGTATTTTGGCCCCTTCCTCCATGCAGATCTCCTCTAGAGCAGTGATGTTTTGGGGCTGTCGCTGGGCAACACAGACTTTCAACTCCCTCCAAAGATTTTCTATGGGGTTGAGATCTGGAGACTGGCTAGGCCACTCCAGGACCTTGAAATGCTTCTTACGAAGCCACTCCTTCGTTGCCCGGGCGGTGTGTTTGGGATCATTGTCATGCTGAAAGACCCAGCCACGTTTCATCTTCAATGCCCTTGCTGATGGAAGGAGGTTTTCACTCAAAATCTCACGATATATGGCCCCATTCATTCTTTCCTTTACACGGATCAGTCGTCCTGGTCCCTTTGCAGAAAAACAGCCCCAAAGCATGATGTTTCCACCCCCATGCTTCACAGTAGGTATGGTGTTCTTTGGATGCAACTGAGCATTCTTTGTCCTCCAAACACGACGAGTTGAGTTTTTACCAAAAAGTTATATTTTGGTTTCATCTGACCATATGACATTCTCCCAATCCTCTTCTGGATCATCCAAATGCACTCTAGCAAACTTCAGATGGGCCTGGACATGTACTGTCTTAAGCAGGGGGACACGTCTGGCACTGCAGGATTTGAGTCCCTGGCGGCGTAGTGTGTTACTGATGGTAGGCTTTGTTACTTTGGTGCCAGCTCTCTGCAGGTCATTCACTAGGTCCCCCCGTGTGGTTCTGGGATTTTTGCTCTCCGTTCTTGTGATCATTTTGACCCCACGGGGTGAGATCTTGCGTGGAGCCCCAGATCGAGGGAGATTATCAGTGGTCTTGTATGTCTTCCATTTCTTAATAATTGCTCCCACAGTTGATTTCTTCAAACCAAGCTGCTTACCTATTGCAGATTCAGTCTTCCCAGCCTGGTGCAGGTCTACAATTTTGTTTCTGGTGTCCTTTGACAGCTCTTTGTTCTTGGCCATAGTGGAGTTTGGAGTGTGACTGTTTGAGGTTGTGGACAGGTGTCTTTTATACTGATAACAAGTTCAAACAGGTGCCATTAATACAGGTAACGAGTGGAGGACAGAGGAGCCTCTTAAATAAGAAGTTACAGGTCTGTGAGAGCCAGAAATCTTGCTTGATTGTAGGTGACCAAATACTTATTTTCCACCATAATTTGCAAATAAATTCAATAAAAATCCTACAATGTGATTTTCTGGAATTTTTTTTCTCATTTTGTCTGTCATAGCTGACGTGTACCTATGATGAAAATTACAGGCCTCTCTCATCTTTTTAAGTGGGAGAACTTGCACAATTGGTGGCTGACTAAATACTTTTTTCCCCCACTGTATGTGTGTAGGTGGTGCAGGTGACTATGGAGGACCTTCAGGGAATTGAGTCCTCTTGACTGAAGAGGGCACTTACATAGCAACAGCATAGCTGCATAGCGATAGCATAGCTGCGTAGCGACAGCAAAGCTGCATAGTGACAGCGTCAGCAATGGGTAAATAAGTCAAAGGCCTTTTTTTGTTTGTCAAAGGCCTTTAAAGTTGTTACCACAAGCACTGTTATTAAAGCATTTTATCCCTCCTCATATTAAGACATCCATGTACTATGTGTGTTTTTGCTTTTGATGCATTTGATTCCAACTAAATCAAAATAAACTGGGAGAACAATAGGAAGTGCTGTGGTTTTTAAGCAAATATTTACATATTACGCATTGATCCAACTAAATATGAAGATGCAAACCAGTTTTAATGACATTTAACAAGATAAATAAGTGTTTTTCAGGTCAAACAGAGTGAGATTTGATCCATTCTGTGAGTGATAACGATGTTAGTAGAGAACAACACTGAACTGGAGAAATATGTAGTCAGTTACAGCTTGATGTCATGTTGGGGCCTCCAAACCTTATTCTAGTAGTATTCATACCTCTGACAGCTGAATGTCTGCCACACTGCAAAAGAGAGGACTATATGTCACACAGAGAGCATACTACTGTTTCAACGTAGTGAAATTATGTTTAAATACAACATGCAAACACAACTAACCACACAGTATTACACAGGCATTACTACTTTTATCTTTGGAGAGCAACTCACACAGAGTTTTATATTTACCATGAGAGCAGTCAGCGTTGGGGACATAGTAGTAGTATTAATGGTCAGAAGTTGTTGTGCCACATCTGTAGACAACTTGGCGATAAAAATGTAAAATAAGATTGTCATCAAAATGTATTCTTTCAATTTCTCTTACAATTTAAAATGCTTTTTGATAAAAACTGAGTGATGATGATAGCAGGCTTTTATGTTGGGATATACTATACTTCGCCTTGAGCACATATGCAGCGTCTGTGCGCAAATCAAAATATCTAATCAAAACCTCCATCACTGTGCACTGTATAAGACATGTATGAGGAACTTGCGCTGTGTGTTTCTGAGGCTATTCCTCTAGCTGCAAAATCTACTGTACGTTAATCAACATCATACTGGCATATCATATTTTTCAATTGCCAAGCCAATAGATGCAACGATCACTAAATTCCACTATGTTAACCAATCAGTCTCAGACAAGTATATTTTACGGTGCCCCTTTACGCTAAATTAGTGGAGAGGTTAATGGAGAATACACACTCAGGGATTTGATAACAAAGGCATTTCACCATCATGCAAAAACACACATACACTACATGATTTTGAAAGGCACACACCCGTCTACAGTACACTACATGTCCGAAAACTGACTCACTTCAACCATCAGGCAAAGCCGGGGGTTTCCTTCTATGTCTGTGGGATGTAGATGTGTATCACATGGATAAGCCCTATGTGCCACGGTGCAGCCTCAGCGGTACAGGTGGTTTGGGGAAACGCTTACTGAAGGTAATAAGCAGTGTAAGGTTACAGCCGTGGTAGAGGTAGAAGATGGGAAACGTGGAGCTCTTTGGGGAAACATGTTTTTGTTGTTGTTGAAGAAACACAAAACAACTAATTGTACAATCTTATTCTCCATCTTTATTTTAAAACATATAGAACACACCTGTAATAACAAATACAAGAAGCAAAAAGGTGAGTGATATCCTAGTACTTTCATGTTTCAGCAGAATGTGAGCATCATTTGTGCGTGTTTATGCTCTGCTTTCACAATGCAGGCTAATCGTGCGCCTCATTTCCCCTCTTTCTCAGACCACTCCTGGTATCCTCCGGCATAGTTGACGGCCCTGAACCAGAGAAGGAAGATGTCATCATTTACAAAAAGTTCCCAAGGTATCAAACACAGAATACAGAGCAGTATTGTCAAAATGTACACTCATACTTTTGGAATCCCAGGCCTCGTGCCTTGTCTGTGGCCACGCCTCCTCGTCGGCCCATCTGACAGTGAAACACCAGCTCCGGGGCGTCCAGGGGGGGTTTGGGCACCCCATATTTGGCCTGGAACTCAGCAGGGTCCAGCGCTAGGGCACTCTCCACTGTATCAACTGGGAGAGGAGACACAGGAAGTTTGCAATACAGCTCCATTTAGAACGCAATAAATATACCAAAATAGCTGGCTCAGTGACGACAACAACAGTAAATCAAACCTGTTTTGCTCATATTTGGCTGAATTACACCCATGTGAATTGGGGTTCATTATGTTTCCAAAGGTTTGGTCTCCGGACAGCAAATTCCAATTGGACCTGAGAGTATAATTTCACTCCAGGACTCTGGCTGAAGCTCACCTGGAATATGGATTGATCCTGGAATGTGTCCACGGTCTACCTCCTCTTTGGTCCGTACGTCAACCACCAGAAGACCCTTGTTGCTCTTGGCCAGGAGGGCCTTAAGGTCAGAGTAGGATATATCCTTATCTGTGGAGAGGGGAGGTCAGTTTGCTACAGATAACACCATGATGACAAAGCTTTATTTAGCCTTGACCAAAATTAACATAAATGATTTACAACTAACTTCCTGTTGCTTCCTGGCTCTGACCATAACCTCTCTTTGAGGAAATAAACTCGTAGGAAAATATAATTTATTCTACTACAGAGCCAGACTGTGAGAATGCAGAAGTTGGCCAAAAAAATTACAGTAGAAAAGTGCTGTGTCACTGTATGATAACTTGCCCAGCAACTTTCAAACCCCACATAGCCTATCAAATCAACCTGGCGTTACACTGACAAAAATCAATCATTGACATTGTTCCAATGTATTGTCGTATTATGGCTCACAAAGACAGATGACCAGTAACGATCTAGCAGCGCTGCGAACTACACGAAGAAGTCAAATGCAGAATACAATCGTAGCATTCGCACTTACCTGAGTTTGCCATCTTGTTTACTGGTGCGCATTTGAATGGAATATTGATTGTCACATTATTTCCTCATTCGTTCCAAGGTGATTGTTTGAGCGGTAACCATTGGACGAAATTCTTAAAAAGGAGGGACTTTAGACAGTATTGTAGCTATAGCCAATCAGACCGATTCTTCATCTTCAACGGTTCAGCTTACTCAAGTTTCAAAATAAAAGTTGCATTACTGTAATAGGACATCACTTGTATTACTTCCAGCAATATTCATTTAGTTTCATCAAGATATTATGTTTCAGCCATGAAAAACAATCAGTCACACAAACTCAGGCAAAATTATGTAAACACTTTTATTAGAAAATAACAATTGCTTTTTTAAAATTCATAATGAGTATTCAGTCAGTTTTATTTATTCTACACATTAATTCGACTGCCATAACTTTTCCCTGTCATGATCCTATGGTACACAAGTTAATTTGCCAGCAAGCAACCTGCAGTCTCTTTAGTCACAAAGCCTCTTAAGCTTTTGTTAGGGTTATTTAGTCCACAAAAGTCAAAAGTTATTGTTTAATTTCTATATTCATAAGTGCAAGATTCTGAACAACCTGAGCACTATGCTGGTGAGTCAGTGGTGGGTGAAGCCATTTTGGCTCTGTCCCGTTGCTTAACTCCTACATTCTCTCTAAGGGTCGCCTGTGCTACTGAGTCACTGTACCGTGTGTAATCCCAAAACTGGATCACAGCGTTCCCTCTGTGCTGTAGGAGGGGTTCCCCAGTCCCTCTGCAGAGTTTTCCCCAGTTTTACACGTCTGTCGCCTCCAGAGGATCAGGGCGACCAGGGAGAGGAGCAGGAGAAATCCCAGCCCCCCTCCGATGACACCTGCCCTTAGGGCCAGGTTGGTGGCCTCAGGGGGGTCGTAGCGCAGGCAGGAGAGCTCTGAGGGGGCGCTGGTTCCCGCTATGTTCACTGCCTCCACACACACCTTGACACCTGCCTCTAGTTCCTCCAGCACCCCGCTCCGAGAATCACCCCTGAACTGGAGAGGCGCTCCCTTTCGATCTTCGATCACGACCCGGTACCCAGATACCACAGAGGCTGGGGCGCACCACCGTACCTCTGCCCCCCCATCAGAGCCTGGTACTAGCTTCTGGAGGTGTGGAGCGTGAGGGGGCTTGTCTGCCCCACTTAGCCCAGGGCAGAGGCACCCGGTCTGGGCAGAGAGCTGGGAGCAGGGGACCTGGTTGTCCTGGCAGGGGTGGTAGTCACAGGGCCTGGGCTGCATCGGAACCAGAGTAGAAGCTGATGAGGCTTTGCTGTAATTGGGAGGCAAATGGGAAGCATCCTCTTCAGTGTAGTCATCTTCGTCGTAGTTGAAGCCCACGCCGGTAACATATTGGATCTTGGGGAGTGTGACCGGCGGGTAGGTGGGGATGGCGTGTGTGAGGAGGGGGCGGGTGTTGATGAGGTTGGTGGGAAGCAGGTCAGGGGTCAGTAGTAGTAGAAGGAGCAGAGCAACCAAGTTCCAGCAGAATGACATCTTCTCTGTGGGACAGAAATGGAAAGATTATAACCACAAATAGGAATTAACTCCCGCATTATTACCATGTAAACCCATACAGGAGGAGGCACAGGATACAACAGACAGAAAGATACAGAAGGATAATGTACTGTAGGACAACCAGTTCACAGAGAGATAATGTACCGTAGGACAACTGATTCACAGAGAGATAATGTACTGTAGGACAACCGGTTCACAGAGAGATAATGTACGTAGGACAACTGATTCACAGAGAGATAATGTACTGTAGGACAACTGGTTCACAGAGAGATAATGTACTGTAGGACAACTGGTTCACAGAGAGATAATGTACGTAGGACAACTGGTTCACAGAGAGATAATGTACTGTAGGACAACTGGTTCACAGAGAGATAATGTACCGTAGGACAACTGATTCACAGAGAGATAATGTACGTAGGACAACTGGTTCACAGAGAGATAATGTACTGTAGGACAACCGGTTCACAGAGAGATAATGTACGTAGGACAACTGGTTCACAGAGAGATAATGTACGTAGGACAACTGGTTCACAGAGAGATAATGTACGTAGGACAACCGGTTCACAGAGAGATAATGTACGTAGGACAACCGGTTCACAGAGAGATAATGTACGTAGGACAACCGGTTCACAGAGAGATAATGTACTGTAGGACAACTGGTTCACAGAGAGATAATGTACTGTAGGACAACTGGTTCACAGAGAGATAATGTACTGTAGGACAACTGGTTCACAGAGAGATAATGTACGTAGGACAACTGGTTCACAGAGAGATAATGTACTGTAGGACAACTGGTTCACAGAGAGATAATGTACGTAGGACAACTGGTTCACAGAGAGATAATGTACTGTAGGACAACTGGTTCACAGAGAGATAATGTACGTAGGACAACCGGTTCACAGAGAGATAATGTACGTAGGACAACTGGTTCACAGAGAGATAATGTACTGTAGGACAACCGGTTCACAGAGAGATAATGTACGTAGGACAACCGGTTCACAGAGAGATAATGTACTGTAGGACAACTGATTCACAGAGAGATAATGTACGTAGGACAACTGGTTCACAGAGAGATAATGTACGTAGGACAACTGATTCACAGAGAGATAATGTACGTAGGACAACCGGTTCACAGAGAGATAATGTACGTAGGACAACTGGTTCACAGAGAGATAATGTACGTAGGACAACTGATTCACAGAGAGATAATGTACGTAGGACAACCGGTTCACAGAGAGATAATGTACGTAGGACAACTGATTCACAGAGAGATAATGTACGTAGGACAACCGGTTCACAGAGAGATAATGTACGTAGGACAACTGGTTCACAGAGAGATAATGTACGTAGGACAACTGGTTCACAGAGAGATAATGTACGTAGGACAACCGGTTCACAGAGAGATAATGTACGTAGGACAACTGGTTCACAGAGAGATAATGTACGTAGGACAACTGGTTCACAGAGAGATAATGTACTGTAGGACAACTGGTTCACAGAGAGATAATGTACGTAGGACAACCGGTTCACAGAGAGATAATGTACGTAGGACAACTGGTTCACAGAGAGATAATGTACTGTAGGACAACTGATTCACAGAGAGATAATGTACGTAGGACAACCGGTTCACAGAGAGATAATGTACGTAGGACAACTGGTTCACAGAGAGATAATGTACGTAGGACAACCGGTTCACAGAGAGATAATGTACGTAGGACAACTGGTTCACAGAGAGATAATGTACTGTAGGACAACTGGTTCACAGAGAGATAATGTACGTAGGACAACCGGTTCACAGAGAGATAATGTACGTAGGACAACTGGTTCACAGAGAGATAATGTACTGTAGGACAACTGGTTCACAGAGAGATAATGTACTGTAGGACAACTGGTTCACAGAGAGATAATGTACTGTAGGACAACCGGTTCACAGAGAGATAATGTACTGTAGGACAACCGGTTCACAGAGAGATAATGTACTGTAGGACAACCGGTTCACAGAGAGATAATGTACTGTAGGACAACTGGTTCACAGATAGATAATGTACTGTAGGACAACTGGTTCACAGAGAGATAATGTACTGTAGGACAACTGGTTCACAGAGAGATAATGTACTGTAGGACAACTGGTTCACAGAGAGATAATGTACTGTAGGACAACTGGTTCACAGAGAGATAATGTACTGTAGGACAACTGGTTCACAGAGAGATAATGTACGTAGGACAACTGGTTCACAGAGAGATAATGTACTGTAGGACAACTGGTTCACAGAGAGATAATGTACTGTAGGACAACCGGTTCACAGAGAGATAATGTACTGTAGGACAACCGGTTCACAGAGAGATAATGTACTGTAGGACAACTGGTTCACAGATAGATAATGTACTGTAGGACAACTGGTTCACAGAGAGATAATGTACTGTAGGACAACTGGTTCACAGAGAGATAATGTACTGTAGGACAACTGGTTCACAGAGAGATAATGTACTGTAGGACAACTGGTTCACAGAGAGATAATGTACTGTAGGACAACTGGTTCACAGAGAGATAATGTACTGTAGGACAACCGGTTCACAGAGAGATAATGTACGTAGGACAACCGGTTCACAGAGAGATAATGTACTGTAGGACAACTGATTCACAGAGAGATAATGTACGTAGGACAACCGGTTCACAGAGAGATAATGTACTGTAGGACAACCGGTTCACAGAGAGATAATGTACTGTAGGACAACTGGTTCACAGAGAGATAATGTACGTAGGACAACTGGTTCACAGAGAAATAAACTAATAAGGCTGATTCTCAAGGACTTAAAAAAAGTCTCCACCAGCTAGTGCTCTCTTCTCAGTTGGCAGGATGCCAGACAAATCTGTGGGAACCTAAGCTGAACTCTCAACATATGCTAGTCCTCCTTTTAGCTTCCACATACTTTCATCCATAGAATAACACATCAACCAATCTAAACTATTCAAGTTGTTGTATGGCTTTATCTGAGTTGATGTTGACTATGTTAATCAATCATTCATCATATTTTCCGTGGTTGTGAGAAAGTGAGAAACATTAGAACAGTCATGCTCTCAAACTTAGCACCATAGCAACCAAGTGAAAGAAAACTTAAACAAACCAATGCTAGTAGTACTCTTTTACTATACCTGAATTGAAGAATAATAGGATATCTAATGTCTCTTCCCGCTCTCCCTCTTCACTCTTCTTTGTTATTTTCTTAACTCTCACATTCTCTCTCTCTCTCTCTCTCTCTCCCTCTCTGTCTCTCTTTCTCTCTCCCACACCAGCTTCTTATTTTATTCTCACCAAACTTTCCCCTCCTTTTTAACACCCCCTAATTATCTCCCCTCTGTGCCTCTCTCTCTCTCTCTCTCTCTCTCTCTCTCTCTCTCTCTCTCTCTCTCTCTCTCTCTCTCTCTCTCTCTCTCTCTCTCTCTCTCTCTCTCTCTCTCTCTCTCTCTCTCTCCTTGGCTCTTTCAGGAGGGGGGAGGGTGTACTGTTCGTTTGTGTCCCTCCTTGCATACGAATTTACTCATCAGTAGCAGTAGGTTAGCTTGAGCTGGCTTGTTTGTGTGTGTCAGTGTGTTTTTGTATGAGTAGGTATATAGTGTGTTGGCTGTTCATGACATAATTGTATGACAAAGTGCCCATGCATTTCTGTGTGTAATGTATGTGAATAGAACACAAGTTTGGGATCAGATCATATTAAAGCATGTGACTCACATACTCACATTCAGGTGTGTACAGGAGTGTGTCAGCGTCTGTGAGGGTGAATGCTTGAGTGTGTGTGTGTGTGTGTGTGTGTGTGTGTGTGTGTGTGTGTGTGTGTGTGAGGGAGGGAGTGAATGTTTGAGCGTGCATGTTTATTGTCACAATCCCCATGGTGTGTATTGTTACAGACTTGAAGGAGAGGAGGAGGAGGACAGAGATTTGGCTCCAGTCCTTATACGGTGGAGAGCTGGCAAGGTGGACAAGCTGGGACATGTAACAGCATCTGACTGAGAAAGAGAGAGAGCGAGCCAGGAAACCCGAATCAGAGCGGGAATCACCTAGCTTTCCCTTTGTATTGTACTACATCCCAAAACACAATACTTCCCATTTGTCTTGTACTACATCCCAAAACACAATACTTCCCCTTTGTCTTGTACTACATCCCAAAACACAATACTTCCCCTTCGTCTTGTACTACATCCCAAAACACAATACTTCCCCTTTGTCTTGTACTACATCCCAAAACACAATACTTCCCCTTTGTCTTGTACTACATCCCAAAACACAATACTTCCCCTTCGTCTTGTACTACATCCCAAAACACAATACTTCCCCTTTGTCTTGTACTACATCCCAAAACACAATACTTCCCCTTCGTCTTGTACTACACCCCAAATACTACTGCTACCCAACACCTCACCATACCCTGAAGTGCTATTGTTATCTAGTACTACTACAATCCACAACATGACACCTCATCTTGACTATAAGATGAAGTTACCTAATACTACCCCCAACATGTTACCTTAAGCCCAAAATATTATGAGTTGTAACTTTATTGGTGGGCATATGCAGGGGCTTGTCTATACTTATTTGAAGTTCAAGTGAATCATTTCTGTATGAAGAAATGGAATGTATGTATCATGAAGTGAGACTATAGGTGTTAACATGACATCACATAAATCATGCTAAAATGACAGCTTATAAACCATGCTAACATGAATCACATAAATCATGCTAACATGGCATCACATAAATCATGCAAACATGACATCACATAAATCATGCTAACATGACATCACATAAATCATGCTAACATGACTTCACATAAATCATGCTAACATGACTTCACATAAATCATGCTAACATGACATCAGATAAATCATGCTAACATGACATCACATAAATCATGCTAACATGACTTCACATAAATCATGCTAACATGACATCAGATAAATCATGCTAACATGACATCACATAAATCATGCTAACATGACTTCACATAAATCATGCTAACATGACATCAGATAAATCATGCTAACATGACATCACATAAATCATGCTAACATGACATCACATAAATCATGCTAACATGACATCTCTCACTGACAAGAATGGAAAAACACTGACAACACACACGGACACACTGTCACGATCGTCGTAAAGGAGAGTAGACCAAGGCGCAGCGTGTGAAATGAACATGACTTTATTATATTAAAGTATCTAAATAACAAACAAAACACGACTCGTGAAGTCCACGGTTACACTGACCGCATAAGGAACAAAAACCCACACCCACAAGGTGAAGACACACAGTTTAAATATGGCTCCCAATCAGAGATAACGAGCCGACAGCTGACACTCGTTACCTCCGATTGGGAGTCACTCAATACAAACATAGACATCGACAACCTAGACACCCAACATAGAACATGAACACATAGAATGCACACACCCTGGCTCAACATAATGAGTCCCAGAGCCAGGGTGTGACACACACTTTACCTTCAGCATTTCCTTGTGTTTGTTTTGTTGTTAACTTCTACTTGAGTCTGGTTCTAACCAGATGGAAACAGGGCAAGCAGATGGAAACAGTAACTAGATGGAAACATGGAAAGCAGATGGAAACAGGAGACTAGATGGAAACAGGAGAGCAGACGGAAACAGGGGACTAGATGTAAACAGGGGCCTAGATGGAAACAGATAACCAGATGGAAACAGAAAACTAGATGGAAACAGGGACCTAGATGGAAACAGGGGTGCAGATGGAAACAGAGGAGTAGATGGAAACAGAGAACTATATGGAAACAGGCGACTAGATGGAAACAGGTCCCTAGATGGAAACAAGAGAGCAAATGGAAACAGGGGACTAGATGGAAACAGGGGACTAGATGGAAACAGGGTGGCAGATGGAAACAGAAGACTAGATGGAAAAAGAGGACTAGATCGAAACAGGGGACTAGGTGGAAACAAGGGATTAGATGGAAACAGGGACCCAGATGGAAACAGGAGCCTAGATGGAAACAGGGGAACAGATGGAAACAGGTTAGCAGATGGAAACAGAACACTAGATGGAAAAAGAGGACTAGATGGAAACAGAGACTAGATGGAAACATGGAACTAGATGGAAACAGGGACCTAGATGGAAACGGGGAACTAGATGGAAACAGTGAGGAAGATGGAAACAGGGAACTAGATGGAAACAGGGAGCAGATGGAAACAGGGGAGTAGATGGAAACAGGAGACTAGATGGAAACAGGTGACTAGATGGAAACAGGGGACTAGATGGAAACAGGGGACTAGATGGAAACAGGGGATTAGATGGAAACAGGGGACTAGATGGAAACAGGGGATTAGATGGAAACAGGGAACTAGATGGAAACAGGGGATTAGATGGAAACAGGAGAGCAGATGGAAACAGAGAACCAGATAGAAACAGAGACTAGATGGAAACAGAGAACCAGATAGAAACAGGGGACTAGATGGAAACAGGGGACTAGATGGAAACAGGGAAGCAGATGGAAACAGAAGACTATATGGAAACAGAGACTAGATGGAAACAGGGGACTAGATGGAAACATGGGACTAGATGGAAACAGGTGACTAGATGGAAACAGGGGACTAGATGGAAACAGGGAAGCATATGGAAACAGAAGACTATATGGAAACAGAGACTAGATGGAAACAGAGACTAGATGGAAACAGGGGACTAGATGGAAACAGAGAACCAGATGGAAACAGGGGACTAGATGGAAACAGGGTAATAGTTGGAAACAGTGAACCAGATGGAAACAGGTGAATAGAAGGAAACAGGTAATGAAAGATGGAAACAGGTAACCAGATGGAAACAGGATCGCAGATGGAAACATGGCACATGTCAGACAATATCTACCTGCAGGGATCACTGGGTATGTGCATGTTGGTACTGCTAATGCAGCAGGCCTTGAACACTTCATTAAAAACAATAAACACCTATTCAGTCCATTTGTTTTCACATTGATGAACAGCCAACATGGACTTTTAAGTGGATAATTCATCATGTACAATCATTGATAGCTGCTGTCTGGTCACGTACCCTGAGATGAAACCATACGTCACTTCAGGAAACTGTCTAGCACAGTGTATCACACAAAATATTGTTTTGTCTGAAAGTATTTTCCCCACTGCGTCACCGTGCCAATGACTACAGGTATGAGGGTTAGGGTGACACTTTTCGATAGAAGAGGTTTGCTTCCAATGTGAACCACACCAGGATCACAGACATCAGCTATGTAGTACAGCCAGAGAATATTGATTAGTTTTTGTTCCACTGACAGGCATAAACCAGTGAATTGAATTCTATAGAACAAACTGTATCACTTTCAGAAACCTGAGGGGAAATAATGTGGTGAGTCACAGCAGTGTGATAATGGTTCCGCCAGCACCACACTACCCCCGATGACTGCTGCATGTTCAGGCATGCTGGACACTACTTACATTACCTCTCTCTCATCCTCTCTCTCTCTCTCTCACACTCTCTTTTTTACCCTCCCTCTCTCCCACTCACCCTCTCTTTCTTTCCCACTCACCCACCCACCCACCCTCTCTCTCTCTCTCTCTCACCCTCTGTCACCCACTCACCCTCTCCCACCCTTTCTCAGTCTGATCCCGTCTGATCCAGACAGCATACATCATTCAGCCCTGCTGAAATGAAATGTCTTCCTCCAGACTTCCCCCATATGGCTACATAACGTCTCAGTCTTTTCTCTGCTGGGAGACCACCCGACTCCAGTCCCAGTCATTCCTCTGTGTTCTTGAGCCTGGACCACCTGCCCCCACCTCTCAGGGGAATTAAAGAATCCCAGAATCTACAGGAAATCATTGACCAACCTTCTCCTGGGCCCCCTGACCTTTGACCCCTTAAATGTGTGAACTGCCGGAAAGTTCTAAAAACAGTTGGTAGAGCATGGCGCTTGCAACGCCAGGTTGTGGGTTCGTTTCCCACGGGGGGCCAGTATGAAAATGTATGCACTCACTAACTGTAAGTCGCTCTGGATAAGAGCGTCTGCTAAATGACTAAAATGTAAAATGTAATAGGCCTCATAAAGGAGTGGGATGATGCTCCCACTGAGATAAATCCTATAATATAGGGATCTAATTCTGAGATCTATGATTATAAAAGAAAGCCACCCATCAGTGCATCGACCCCAAAGGACTGTAAGATCAGGAGAGACAAAGGGTGCTTATCAATGACATCACATCATGCCATACACTGAGATAGGCCAGGTGAGGTATTCATTTCAAAAGCAATTCAGACAGGATGTTATTGGGTATTGGCTTAAGATGTTTTCGAAAGACATCCATAGGGATGCTACCTATGGACGTCGAACACTCGCTTGTTTCTACCTCGACATTGACCGCTTGAAGTGAGGTCTAATTAGACCTACATAAATTCAATCACAGCTAACCGAGAATCATAATTTGGCTAAAGAGTGGTTTCTCCAACTCCCAACATGAGTGGTCAATCAATCCTAACCACACTGGCAACTAAACACATCCTGTGTGTCAACTATTGCTTGTTGGCCCCATCCAATGGTGAAAGTTAGCTATTGTGTCACAGCTTTGGCCTATGATTAGACCAGTATTTTCAGCATTGTCCACTAGGTTTGCTGCAGGTAGAAAATCCTAGGAAATGCTCTATAATTGACACAAACTGTCTCCGATCAATCAATCGTCTGGTTGCGTGAGCATTTGGTGGGAGGTGTCGCTCTACGAATCTTAATTGCACAAAGCCTATTATTTGGCAGGGAATACCATTTGTAGATCAGTGATTCTACACCTCACTTTGCTCAAGCTGATCCTCTCCAGTTGACTTGGAAGTTGTAGCTAAAAATGTGTCAATTAGGGGAAGTTTAGAGCGGAAATAAGCAGCATAAACAATAACAAAGCGTACCTGTTTGAGTAAAAAGCTGAGGGATGGGGCTGGAGAAATGTAACCACTCTCAAATTCATAGAGAGCTATGGATGCAAGGACTGACCATCCATGATATCAAAATGATAGTTTACTTTTAACCATGTTTTGAGGCTATTTAATGTTTGTTTACATTTACTTTGTAAAACAAGCTTATTTTGGGTTCTGATGGGGTATGACCGTTGAACTAAGCTCATGAGGCATTTCTAAGTGATATTCTTGAAGAATATTGGGTACTTATAATTAATTAAGTCCAAAAATGGATATAGCAACTGCTGATTGTCCATTTTAAGGGGAGAGTCAATGAAACCAACTATGGAAGTATGTTGTAGCGACTCGGGACTCGAAGGCCTCTAACCCAGATCCACCGACTGTCAAGCCAACACATTAACCTTTACGCCAAGAGGTTTGACAGGGGTTGCCTCTTTAAATGCAGTCATTGAAGAAGCCTGCTTTACATGCCTCAGTCTTCACCATTAGACGTAAATAGCATGTTTTAACAGCATTTTATTCTGGTCTAAAATCCCGATGTATGGGATGTGATGTATACTGTGCATATTTTCACTTAGCACAGGGGCCCCACAGGGTTGTGTGCTTAATCCCCTCCTGTACTCCCTGGTCAGTGACCTGACAGTGTGGTGCCGGAGCAACAACCTCTCCCTCAACGTCAGCAAGACCAAGGAGCTGATCGTGGACTACAGGAGAAGGGGGGGCGAGCACGCCCCCATCCACATCGACGGGGTGGCAGTGGAGCAGATAGACAGCTTCAAGTTCCTCGGTGTCCAAATCACTAAAGACTTAAAATGGTCCAAACACACACAGTCATGAAGAAGGCGCGACAGTGCCTCTTCCCCCTCAGGAGGTTGAAAAAGTTTGTCATGGGCCCTCAAATCCTGAAAAGGTTCTACAGCTGTACAATTGAGAGCATATTGACTGGCTGCATCACTGCTTGGGATGGCAATAGCACCGCCCTCGATCGCATGGTGCTACAGAGGGTTGTGCAGACAGCCCAGTACATCACTGGGCCGAGCTCCCTGCCATCCAGGACCTCTATATCACAGGACCTCTATATCAGGCGGTGTGAAAAGAAGGCCCGGAAAATCGTCAAAGACCCCAAGCCATAGACTATTTTCTCTGCCACACGACAAGAGGTACCGTTGCATCAAGTCTGACACCAACAGGCTCTTGAACAGCTTCTATCCCCAAGCAATAAGACTGATAAATAGCTAACAAAATAGCTACAAGTACCGAGTTTACCTTGTAGCTTTGACCTTTTATTTCAGTATTTGCACTCACTATGCACACTCACAGGGCCCTACACACTCACATACACTGTCACTCCAACACACACACACACAAACACTCACTCCATTATTTTCTCACTCACACATAATATGCACACACATTTATACTGACTGCAAGCTGCTGCTACTCTGTTTATCTTATATCCTGTTGCCTAGTCACCTTACCCCTATACATATTTCCCTCCATCACTCCAGTATCCCTGCACATGTAAATATGGTATTGGAACTGATTTTTTAAATATTTCCTGTATATAGTTGCTTACTTACTTACTCTATTATGTATTTAATATTTCTTATTCTTATTTCTCGTTTTTTTCTCTAGTAATACATTGTTATTGATTATTGCATTGTTGGGTTTTGAGTTTGCAAGAAAGGCATTTCATTGTACTTGTGCATGCGTCATTAAAACTGCATCATGGCGGAGTGAAGTTGAATCAGCTGCGAAACACCCGATACAAAGTTGCGCCGAGAAATTGTTACATTTACACTTTTCCGCGAGAAACTGTAGCCTTCTACAATTGCAACATTGTAACTATAGACCAGAGTTGCTACATTTTGGTGGAGAATGCTGGTCCACTCCATCAACATCGTTCATTGAGTTGCGGCTGCGCTTTCCAATGTAGTTCGAATAGCGTATGGAAGAGACAGCAGAAGGGGTGGGGCGACATTCGAGTTTTTCCGTAATCTCGTACTGCTGGAATTTTAAATCTGTCCCTGAGCTCGGTCATTGGTGACGGGAGGCGGGGGCAATCGTTGAATGAAGGTTATTTTCTGTGTTGACACGGTGGTCCTGAAAGCCCTCGGCGGAGAGATCCACATATTCCAATGTAACATTAAACCAATGAAAGAGGAGGAGTCGACACTCATTTGTTTACAGATTAGGCTACACGATGTGGACCGCGGAGACGAGATCGAGTTGAGGTTGGCGAGCAGCAGACGTTTTCACAGGTTGATGTACATTTTGCACGGAGCAGGAAAGCAAGTGAAATATTTTCTGGCGTCATAATTTCCCCTGGAAATAGGCTACGGGGAAATCTGCTGTATACCATGATAAATAAATAAGACCTGCCTGTCCTTTCACTATACAACCGATTTTATAGCCGCACTTCGGATACTGAAGTTGGTGCTGTGACTTCGCTTTGCCTATCATTCTTGGAAGAGCAAAGCTGAAAGAATCCTTTTTTTATATATATATATATATATATATATATATATATATATATATATACAATCCTTGTCAATCAATAGGCTACTGTCGCTGTCTGATGCATGAGCGATGCTCCCAGAACACAACAGTAACCCCTCTACTGGACAGGATAAAATGGGGGTCAACGGGATAGGAGAAAATCAGACTGAAGAGGAAGCATCGAGCCGCGAGCCGCCGACTGAAAACTGTGATGAGGCACCTGCAGACTATGAAATGGAGCAGAAAGGTGGTTCTCCCCAAGACCAGGAGAACCAGCAAGCACAGAAGGAGGACCAGGGACAGGACCTGGGAGATAGCGAATGCAAGATCCCACATGAGGACACTACTATCCAGCTCATCGAGGCTGGATGTCTCGATAGTAAGCCCGGTGTATCCCCGGATTTCCAGTCTCAGTCCCCGGCACCGATGCCAGGGCAGAGCACCGGGTTCGTCCCACCCGAAGGCGGGTTCGGCTGGTTAGTCGTTTTCGCTGCTACCTGGTGTAATGGATCCATCTTCGGGATACAGAACTCCTTCGGTATCCTCCACATGATGCTGGTGATTGACCACGCAGACCCCAATGACCAAACGTCGCAGTTTAAAGTAGGTGAGTCTGTCCTGTAACTGTTGCACCTGTTAAAGTTAGCCTACTGATGCTTACTTACTGTTGAAGGTAAGCGAGAAGGGTCAAATAAACCCAGTCAGAACTATACTGAACAAAAATATAAATGCAACAATTTTACTGAGTTACAGTTCAAATAAGGAAATCAGTCAATTGAAATAAATTCATTAGGCCCTAATCTTTGGATTTCACATGACTGGGCAGGGGCGCAGCCAAGGGTGGGTCTGGAAGGGCATAGGCCCACCGACTTGGGAGCCAGGTCCACCCACTGGGAAGCCAGGCCCAGCCAATCAGAATGAGTTTTTCCCCACAAAAGTGCTTTATTACAGACAAAAATACTCCTCAGTTTCATCAGCTGTCTGGGTGTCTGGTCTCAGACGATCCCGCAGGTGAAGAAGCCGGATGTGGAGGTCCTGGCCTGGCGTGGTTACACGTGGTCTGCGGTTGTGAGGCTGGTTGGACGTACTGCCAAATTTTCTAAAATGACGTTGGAGGCGGCTTATGGAGAGAAATTAACGTGAAATTATCTGGCAACAGTTCTGGTGGACATTCCTGCTGTCAGCATGCCAATTGCACGCTCGCTCAAAACTTGAGACATCTGTGGCATTGTGTTGTGTGACAAAACTGCACATTTTAGAGTGGCCTTTTACTGTCCCTTGCACAAGGTGCACCTGTGTAATTATCATGCTGTTTAATCAGCTTCTTGATATGCCACACGTGTCAGGTGGATGGGTTATCTTAACAAAGGAGAAATGCTCACTAACAGGCGACGTAAACACATTTGTTCACAAAATTTTAGACATTTCTGTGCGTATGGAAAATGTCTGGGATCTTTTATTTCAGCTCATGAAACATGGGACCAACACTTTACATTGTTGCTCAGCATTGTCTCAAGAAGATATTGAAGTAAAACATAAATTACATTTTTGATTATTGATCATATCCATCTTTGCTCTTCAGATGTGTCAGAGAATTTAGGCTACTACTTCAGTCTCGGCATCATCTGTCTGAAGACTCTTCAGCCTACTTCAGCCTACCTCAAGTCAATGTATAGACAATACATAGACCTAGGCCATATAGCACCACAGTTGCCTTACATTAACATTCTGGTCACGGCTCTAATTCTCTTATCATGCTTCCTTATGTTCTCCTCTTATGTTGTTAATTTATTTTCCATGTGACAAAGGCACTAGTGTGTGCCTCTATATTGTGGCCTCAATCTTCACCCCCAATCTGTTTAGGATTACTATCAGGCTTTTCTTTTATAGCACACTCACACACACACACACACACACACACACACTCACACACACTCACACAGCTCTTTTGCTTCACTACATCAGGGCCGTCACAAAGCATCTCAGATTAGGAGTGATGATCTAGGATCAGGTCCCCCCTGTCCATGTGATCTAATTCATTATGATCTTTAAGGGAAAACTGAGGCTCTTTGTGTATACAGGCCCTGATGCAGGACAGGTGTGTGCTGTTAGTTTGCACTTCTATAAATTATTCACAATGGGTGAGGAGGGACGGGCATTGTGGGATAGGTGAGGCTATAGTCTGTCCACGGCTCAGTTATCATTGAGCTGCAGCTCAGTTAAAGAGTTTTAATGTTTAACAGCTTAGCAGCCACCACACACACTCACCGCGACACCTTGAGTTGTCTCAACCACTTATATTGTTAGGATTAAATGTTTGTGGCTTTAGGATGAAACATGTTTGTGGCTTTAGGATGAAACATGTTTGTTGCTAAAGATAAAGCCAATCGTCTTCTCTCTAACGCTCTCTCAATTCTCAGAAAGGGCCTGACGTAGGCCTAGGTTCATTTTTAGGACCGAGATATGTTTACCTATGTATACATTCTTGCTATGGAAGTGTACACGTTCTCAGGTTTTCAACTGAAACTTTTAGGCCTTCATCCACTGGAGAGGTTTTTCCTCTCTCCCAAAACAACAACCCCAGATGAATGAGTGCCAAGACATCTCCCTGTTATTTTTCCTTCGTTAAGACTTTTTAATGTTTGGGTCCAGCCAAGATCCTGATTTCTAACCTTGAAAAAGGCGTCCACTGTTCGCATATCAGAAGGGATTAGACTAGTGAGCTGTAGTCAGATCCCCCAGCTCGACTAGCTCGCCCAGGGAAATGGTACAGTGCAGAAGGGGCATATTAGTGGAGGCTTCTGAGGGGAGGACGGCTCATAATAATGTCTGGAACGGAGCAAATGGAATGGCATCAAACACATAGAAACCATGGAAACCATGTGTTTGACGTTGTTGATACCATTCCACTTATTTCCGCTCCAGCCATTACCACGTGCCCGTCCTCCCCAATTAAGGTGCCACCAACCTCCTGTGGGGCTTATAGACTGCCTGGCACATAATCACATCTCTCAGCTGAGCCCACACTGAGTGCAGTGCCCAGGCCTGTACCCACTCCAAGACATGAAGGAGAATTTACAGGCCCAGTCAAAACCATATCCACAGTAAGACACACTAGTTCTCCCCATAAGAGCTATGAGGAGGGAAATCAGGTACCAATCGCTGCCCAGTGGTGCTTGTTTTGATCATTGAGTCCGAATCTCTACGAAACAGACGTTATGTCATGTTTAGATTATTACTATGTAATTACACAGGTACAAATAATGGCCTGATATTTTCTGGGGGTATCAACAACAGTGGGCTAAGTGTGTAGAAGGATCCACATGTCAAGATGGAGGAAATCCTCATTTTTAAGTCTTTCATCAAAACAATAGTTTCATGATCTGAACCAGTTGGGCTAGAGGGGAATCCTTATCAACAAAGGAGTGCCTGAGGGGCGAGTTAGGTATCACGGTGAAGCGAAGGAAGGGAGTGAGGGACTTAAAGTAGAGGAAAGAGGGGTGGAAATAGTGAGGGAACATCCAGTTCCTTGAAGTTAACGCTGTCTGCGTCCCAAATGCAGGTTGGCATTTATTGTCATGAATCTTGCCCTGGAGGCAGCTCTGCAGAGTAGTCACTAGCTGGCACAGCCACAAAGTAACAAAATCTGATTTGAAACCTAACCTTAACCACACTGCTAACCCTAACCTCAAATTAAGACCAAAAAGCACATTTTTGGTTTCATGAATTTTTACGATATAGCCAATTTTGACTTTGCAGCTGGACCATCTAGCGGAAATCGCTGTTCTGCCTCCAGGGCAAGATTCATGACAATAAAAATCAAGATGCGTCCCAAATGGCACCCTATTACCTTCATAATGCACTACTTTAGACCAGGGCAAATAGGGCTCTGGTCTAAACTAGGGCACTGAATAGGGAATAGTGTTCCATTTGGGAGGCGCTCACTGTAAATCTGAGGGCGTCGTCTTAGTGAAAGCAGAATGGTGGAAACTTTGCTTTCTCTTATCAAATCGCATACTGACCAGTGATTAATTATTAAGGAGAGAAGGAAGGAAAATGGATGCATTTTCGAAACAGGGTATCAATCTAGGAGTGAGGGGAGGAAAGAGATGGAGAGGGTGATGGACATACAGAATGGGGTGAGTGATCCCAGGCCAGGGAATTGCTGAAAGAGATACAGACTTAGGCCTTGTGACCCACAAGGCTTGGAATGGCTATGGGTTCCAGTGAAATAGAGAGTGACAGTCAGTGATTTATTGAGGGGGTGTGTGTCCTGTTATTGTAGCTTTCTGGAGTCTAAAATAACTGTTATGGACGTGCTCATAAGGGTTATTTACTGTTAGCACTTATGCCTTTATTCCAAACCACCGGAAATGCATTTTATGTTGGCTGTATTTGGGGAGTTGATGCCCTCCAGATGTCCTACGGCCTGAAACATGAATAGAGAGCAGACATGACTGTCTGGCGTCATTCATTTACAGCACAACAAACAAGAATCCTCTTGCTCCATCTGTCTGGACCTGCTGGCTCAGTGCATTTTACTACATTTGATTTGCCCTGAAAACGAAATAGCGCATCTGGCTTACAGACTGAGGGAAACGTTTAAAATGCCTCAGATATCTTACGCCTGTTGATCAGGATTTAAACACTTGATGCTTAAAATATTGTTTGTACATAACATTCCTGCGTACAGTACACTACAGCAGTACTAGGGCCCCTGGGGGTACTTGGCCTATCCACAGGGGGAACTTTAGAAGACTCATGAGTCCATAGGGTTATTGTTAAAATCCACATGAAGGGGTACTTCAAGGGTACTCCGGGCAGAGCAAAATTCAGTTGGTGGTACAGTAACCAAAAAAGGTTGGGAACCACTGCACTACAGTACAGTATTATGGTCAGTTAAGTATGAATATAATACAGTAGGATGCAGTAGTGGAACTGTCCCTAAAATGGGCAGTTGGTCCATAATCTCTGGAATAAATCGATTGAACGCCATCAGTATGCGGTCTCTCTCCAATCCTTATAGGGCGTAGAAATATTCCACTCGGTATCCCTTTTGAACCCGATTTAAGGTTTATGATTGATGTGTTTTCTGGGACCTGACAAACATATTCCACTAAAAGGAGATTCGATTTCAGATTTCATCTCAGTTTTTTATGTATAGCTGTAATTTGTTTCCGTTATTGAACAAGATACTGTTATTACAGTACTGTACGATAAGCGAGCGTCCTGTCCAGGGGGTTTAGTTATACATCAAGCTGCCTCATGCTAGCAAAACAAGAAAAAGAAAAACAGGCTCCTTCCTTATGGCTTGGTCAAGACTACTCACTTTGTAAGACAATACATTATCATTACCATGCCTGATCATTTACCCATGAGTAATTAGCTTGTTCCGATACTTCACCCTCTCTGTAGTCTCTCTGGTCTAGAGCAGTGGTCAGCTACAGTGTAAATCCTAACAATTTGCAGTTTAAGGAATAATGTGGATGTTTGGCATTCCAGAAGGCTGTGGAATAGAATAGATCCCAATCGGATCAGGGCCCTTTGTCCAGTCCACTGCCTCCCCTTCCAACGCATTTTAGACCGTTGGAAGGGGAGTTGTGTCTGTGTTTGTACTTTAGGACACTTAATTGTGCACAGAAGCTGCAAGGTACAGTAGTTTCACTCCTCATAGTGTATTTAGGCCCATTGAACAACCTGTTTCTGAGTTCTCTATACTGGAACTCCAGGCCTAGGACCGCTTGTTTGTGTTGAAGCTAAGCTACGCAACACATTAGACCCATTGAGCAACTTGTTTCGAAAGCACACTATAGTGTGCAACTGTGCATATAGGCTACTTATGCATACAGTAAATAGTGTGTACACCCAGCAAACCAAAATTGGTTCTGTGAATGTTCCCAGAACATTCATTAGGTTGCCCAAAAACGCTATAATAACACAAAAACTGTCCAATTGTGCTGATGATTATATAACATTTGTCTGATGTTGCAAGAACATTCCCAGAACACATTTTGTTATTACATTACCTGGAAATCTAATAAGAACCTTAGGAGAATGTTCTGTGGTGGTTGTTACAGCATTTTAGCGAATGTTGGAGAACATTCCAAGGATATTTATAAAAAAAATAAAAAAGTGTTTTTGGGATGTTATTCAGGGGTAGGAACAGAAAAATGGAAGATAACGTCAATTTTCAAGGAACAGAAACGGAACTGGGAACGAAAGTGATCCATACTGTTCTGGAACAGAACCGTTATTTTAAAAGCATGGGAACCGGTTAATAACATTATTTTACGTTCCAGGCATATTTGTCTCACAGCAAAACACAACAAAGCGCCTATGCAAAGCCCTCACTGTGTCACTCAAAAACGTATTCCAGTGTCTGCCTGCAAGCTGAAAATCTTTGCCTGTGTGTGTTTAGGCTACCTGCCCCTTCCTCCTCCGAAGCATAGGCTACTGTACTGACGTTACAAGATAGGGAGAGAGATTTTTTATTAGCTAGAGAAGAATGGATTCACTTTTTCAATGCTAGTTAATGATACTATAGGCCTAGTGATTACGTTTCACGTTGGATTTATTAACTACAAAAAGGTAAGACGTCTTTTTAATTCTGGTGCCGCTCTGCACACACAAGCTTGTTAGCTAGCTAGCTCAAGCTTGTTAACTAGTTAGCTCAAAGGATATTCAAAGTTCCTCCATAGAAGCTGCTTCTCCTAGGTATAATTCTGTAGACCTAATTCATATAATGCATGTCATAATAAGATGCTCAGAGCTTCAAGCCTCCTCCTTAACCCTCTCTCGCTCTCGCCCCACCCACAAAATGTCAGTCCCATCTTGCGCCATAGGCTACACTTGTCTGTCCATGACGCATGTAAACAACTAGCTTGCCTGCTCTATCCACACTGATTGGTGAAGTAATTCATTGAGCTTAATGTAAAAAAACAGTTGATTTCAAAGGTTAAAAAAGGAACAATATAAACATACTTTTTTTTTTTTTTTACCGGTTCAGACCTTTATTTAGCTGGTCAGAACAGTGGAATGGATATTAATATGGAGTTGGTCCCCCCCTTTGCTGCTATAACAGCCTCCACTCTTCTGGGAGGGCTTTCCACTAGATGTTGAAACATTGCTGTGGGGACTTGCTTCCATTCAGCCACAAGATTATTAGTGAGGTCAGGCACTGATGTTGGGCGATTAGGCCTGGCTCGCAGTCGGCGTTCCAATTCATCCCAAAGGTGTTCGATGGGGTTGAGGTTAGGGCTCTGTGCAGTCAAATTCTTCCACACCGATCTCGACAAACCTTTTCTGTATGGACCTCGCTTTGTGCATGGGGGCATTGTCATGCTGAAACAGGGACAGGCCTTCCCCAAACTGTTGCCACAGTTGGAAGCACAGAATCGTCTAGAATGACATTGTTTGCTGTAGCGTTAAGATTTCCCTTAACTGGAACTAAGGGGCCTAGCCCGAACCATGAAAAACAGCCCCATACCATTATTCCTCCTCCACCAAACTTTACAGTTGGCACTTTGCATCGGGGCAGTTAGCGTTCTCCTGGCATACGTCAAACCCAGATTTGTCCATTGGACTGCCAGATGAAGCGTTATTCATCGCTTTTCCACCGCTCCAGAGTCCAATGGCGGCGAGCTTTACACCACTCCAGCGGATGCTTGGCATTGCGCATGGTGATCTTAGGATTGTGTGCGGCTGCTCGGCCATGGAAACCCATTTCATAAAGCTCCCGATGAACAGTTCTTGTGCTGACGTTGCTTCCAGAGGCAGTTTGGAACTCGGTACTGAGTGTTGCAACCGAGGACAGACGATTTTTACGCACTACGCGCTTCAGCACTCGGCGGTCCTGTTCTGTGAGCTGTGTGGCCTACCACTTCGCGGCTGAGCCGTTGTTGCTCCTAGACATTTCCACTTCACAATAACAGCACTTACAGTTGACCGGCAGGGCAGACATTTGACAAACTGACTTGTTGGAAAGGTGGCATCCTATGACGGTGCCACGTTGAAAGTCACGGAGCACTTCAGTAAGGCCATTCTACTGCCAATGTTTGTCTATGGAGATTGCATGGCTGTGTGCTCGATTTTATAAACCTGTCAGCAACGGGTGTAGCTGAAAGCCGAATCCATCCACTAAATTGAAGGGGTGTCCACATACTTTTGGTGATGTAGTGTAATGTTGGTTCCAACCCTTGATGTTATCATCCTAATGTTGGATAAAACCTTAACTAGAACTTAATGTGAATGTTAGCTAATGTCCTGGAGATGTTCCCGGTTTGCTGGGACCACTTAATGCCTTGAGCAGAAGCTGCATGGTAGCTTACGTTCTCACATTGCATTAAGGCCAATTGAACAACGCATTGAACAACCTGTTTACTGCAACTATGCTAAGCCTAGTAGGACTGCTTTTTCAGCGAGGGGGAGAGAACAGTGTTGCATCAGGATCAGAAGAAAGTGGACTCTTTGTTTTCAGTTTAGACAAGCAGCAATACTCTGATCATTTAAATTCAACACTTGTGAATGGTATTACTTCCATCACAGTTGTAATAATGAATATGATATCATGAGATGTTCATTATTTAGGAGTTAGTTATGGGATTGTAATAGAATAACAATGTATTGCTGCTTGCTGCTCCACTTTCATTCCTTTCATCATTATTGTGAGTGTGTTCAGATACCCATGCTACATCCCAAATGGCTCCCTGTTTCCCATATAGTGCCCTGGTCAAAAGTAGTGCACTAAATAGGGAATAGGGTGTCATTTGGAACACACAACCTGTGATTCTGTTAATGAGGCCTCGTAAACAATGTTGTCATCACCGGCTTATCTCACACAATTAGTGTCTTCCGTGAGGTCACTGTCTCTTTAAATAGACAACAGCCTCACCCCTGGCATCTGAGGAACAATCATGCAGTCAGGGGCCTAAGAGGAGGGGAGGGGGGAGAGAGATCGAGTGGGAGAGAGAGAGAGAGAGAGAGAGGGGGAGAGAAAGAGGGGTGTCTTCTCTTTCTGCCAGCCTGTCACTATGCGTCTGTCACTGCTACTGGATCATGCTCCTAGAAATAGTGTTTTTCTCTCCCTCCTCTGCATGTTTTTCACTCACTTTTCTATTCTCTCTCTCTCTCTCTCTCTCTCTCTCTCTCTCTCATCTCTCCTCCCTCTCTCCCCTCTCTCTGCTCCTCTCTCCTCTCTCTCTCTCTCCTCTCTCTCTCTCTCTCGTCTCTCTCTCTCCTCTCTCTCTCTCTCTCTCTCGCTAGCTCTTTCTTTTTTGTTTTGAAGCGTTCATACCTAATTCTTTGAATGCATTCTGGCTGCTTTATTATTAAGACCCTGGGCTGCTGGGAGAGAGGGAGATAAGTGGGGGATGAGGGGGGGGAGAGGTGGAGGTATAGAGGGATGGGGTGATGAGATGGAGGGGTGGAAGGTGGGCGAGAGGAAATGTTGAGAAGATTATAGGGCTCGGGCTGGATGGAATGAAGGGGTGTGGAGTTGGTCAAGCATCAAGGGTTTCTACTATATGCTTTCTGTGCCTGCGTCTGAAATGGCACCCTATTCCCTATATGGTGCACTACTTTTGACCAGGGCCTTGACCAAAAGTAGTGCACTACAGTGCCTTGCAAAAGTATTCATCCCCCTTGCCGTTTTTCCTATTTTGTTGCATTACAACCTGTAATTTAAATGGATTTTTATTTGGATTTCATGTAATGGACATACACTAAATAGTCCAAATTGGTGAAGTGAAATGAAAAAAATAACTTGTTTCAAATATTCTAAAAAATAAATAACGGAAAAGTGGTGCGTGCATATGTATTCAACCCCTTTGCTATGAAGCCCCTAAATAAGATCTGGTGCAACCAATTACCTTCAGAAGTCACATAATTAGTTAAATAAAATCCACCTGTGTGCAATCTAAGTGTCACATGATCTGTCACAGGATCTCAGTATATATATACCTGTTATGAAAGGCCCCAGAGTCTGCAATACCACTAAGCAAGAGGCACCACCAAGCAAGCAGCACCATGAAGACTAAGGAGCTCTCCAAACAGGTCAGGGTCAACGTTGTGGAGAAGCACAGATCAGGGTTGGGTTATAAAAAAATATCGGAAACTTTGAACATCCCACGGAGCACTATTTTAAAATCCATTATTATAAAATTGAAAGAATATGGCACCACAACAAACCTGCCAAGAGAGGGCCGCCCACCAAAACTCATGGACCAGGCAAGGAGGGCATTAATCAGAGGCAACAAAGAGACCAAAGATAACCCTGAAGGAGCTGCAAAGCTCCACAACAGAGATTGGAGTATCGGTCCATAGGACCAATTTAAGCCGTACACTCCACAGAGCTTTACGGAAGAGTGGCCAGAAAAAAGCCATTGCTTAAAGAATAAAATAAGCAAACACGTTTGGTGTTCGCCAAAAGCCATGTGGGAGACTCCCCAAACATATGGAAGAAGGTACTCTGGTCAGATGAGACTAAAATTGAGTTTTTTGGCCATCAAGGAAAACGCTATGTCTGGCGCAAACCCAACACCTCTCATCACCCCGAGAACACCATCCCCACAGTGAAGCATGGTGGTGGCAGCATCATGCTGTGGGGATGTTTTTCATCGGCAGGGACTGGGAAACTGGTCAGAATTGAAGGAATGATGGATGGCGCTAAATACAGGGAAATTCTTGAGGGAAACCTGTTTCAGTCTTCCAGAGATTTGAGACTGGGACGGAGGTTCACCTTCCAGCAGGACAATGACCCTAAGCATACTGCTAAAGCAACACTCGAGTGGTTTAAGGGGAAACATTTAAATGTCTTGGAATGGCCTAGTCAAAGCCCAGACATCAATCCAATTGAGAATCTGTGGTATGACTTAAAGATTGCTGTACACCAGCAGAACCCATCCAACTTGAAGGAGCTGGAGCAGTTTTGCCTTGAAGAATGGGCAACAATCCCAGTGGCTAGATGTGGCAAGCTTATAGAGACATACCTCAAGAGACTTGCAGCTGTAATTGCTGCAAAAGGTGGCTCTACAAAGTATTGACTTTGGGGGGGGAGTGAATAGTTATGCACGCTCAAGTTGTCTGTTTTTTTGTCTTATTTGTTTCACAAGAAAACATATTTTGCATCTTCAAAGTGGTAGGCATGTTGTGTAAATCAAATTATACAAATCCCCCCAAAATCCATTTTAATTCCAGGTTGTAAGGCAACAAAATAGGAAAAATGCCAAGGGGGGGTGAATACTTTCACAAGCCACTGTAGATAGGGAATAGGGTGCATCTTCAGACGCACTCAGTCTTTATTCCTCCTCTGGTCCGCTCTGGTTTGCTTCCTTTTGGCTGATGTGAGTTACAGTTAGCCCTTTGTCTTAAAACAAACACCAACTAACTGGAAGTTTTACTGTAAAACAGCATGTTGTATGGAAAACATGTTGGATGAATAATAGTCTCTTTCTTCTCATGTACTATATCAGTAAACCCCAGAGAGGCCTAACCTAACCTTTTTTGTATGTACTGTACATTCTTCATGTCTCCTACATTGTAACAAGTTAACTGATATATATTCTACTTTAACCTGGGCCGTGGTCCAGCGTATCACCTGTCAAATCGACAAATATCCATCTGGCATGTTTGCTTACTGCTTTGGCCGGGGAAGAAGAAACATTGAATGGCTGCCAAGGGCAATATGGGGTCTGCTCAGATTTCACATCATTCCGACTGTCCGTTCTAATGTGTAACCAATGACCCAGGACACGTCCCAAATGGAACCCTATTCCCTATATGGTGCACTACTTTTTGACCAAAGCCCTATGAGTAGTGCAATATGTAGGGAATAGGGTGCCTTTTGGGATGCATTCCCGTTCTGTTGGACCCAGAACAGACTGGAGACATTAAAGCTACCTTTGGCCCTTAAGACTCAGGGATGGTTTGCCCTGGAGGGCACAGCATGTCTCTGTGCACGGTAGTCTGAACACATTAACCCCACTGGGCACAGTAGTACAGCATGTTGTTATCATAGACCAATAGTTATTTTATAAGTTAAATAAGGGTAGGGTACAACATGTTTCTATTCAGGTTAACCCCACTGGGCACAGTAGTACAGCATGGACCTGTATCTCTATCCATGGCTGAGTTTGCTGTCTTATCTAATAATAATAGATTTGATTTTATATAGCTCTTTTCATTACAAACAGAATCTCAAAGTTGCTTTAAAAACATGGTTATTATTAGAGCTGGGACAATAAACCGAAAATGATCGACACCGATCACTTATTGCAGGCATTCTGCTGATATCGTTCATTACGATAAGTAGCCTATACTAGAGAAATGTGAAGTTTGAAATGAAATAAGTTTGCTAATATGGTGGATTGTCAGCGGCGGAAAAAGTACCCAATTGTCATACTTGTCATAGTAAAAGTAAAGATACTTTAATAGAAAATGACTCAAGTAAAAGTGAAAGTCACCCAGTAAAATACTACTTGAGTAAAAGTCTAAAAGTATTTCGTTTTAAATATACTCAAGTATCAAAAGTAAATGTAATTGCTAAAATATACTTAAGTATCAAAAGGAAAAGTATAAATCATAAAAAAAATCTTTATATTAAGCAAACCAGACAGCACCATTTTCTTGTTTTTTATTTACTTACTGATATCCAGGGGCACACTCAACACTCAGACATCATTTATAAATAAAGCATGTGTGTTTAGTGAGTCCGCCAGATCAGAGGCAGTAGGGATGACCAGGGATGTTCTCTTGATAAGTCTGAATTTGACAATTTTCCTGTCCTGCTAAGCATTCAAAATGTAACGAGTACTTTTAGGTGTCAGGGAAAATGTATAGGGTAAAAAGTACATTATTTCCTTTAGGAATGTAGTGAAGTAAAAGTTGTACAAAATATAAATAGTATAATAAACTACAGATACACAGAAAAACTACTTAAGTAATACTTTCTAGTAATTTTACTTTAGTACTTTACACCACTGGTGAATTTTAATGGGACAATTGATGGCCTCAACCATCGAACTAATAGTAGTTGTTTAAAGGAGAATTTAAAAAAAATTGTGTTGTACATTGTTATAAACGTATCGTTCTATTTATCGTTATCGCATAATTTCAGGCAATTTATCGCGATATACATTTTTGTCCATATCACCCAGCTCTATTTAGTGCAGGTTACATAAGGTGGGGTACAACATGGTATTATTATCCCAGATCAGTGGTTATTAAATAGGTTACATAAGGTGGGGTACAACATGTTTCTACATGCAGATAAGCCATATTGAGAAGCCTACCACATGTTTTATACAGGTCCAACTAAGGAGGATTCTGCATGTTTCTATGCAGTGCAGGTTAACCCTATAGATCAATGGTTATTCTACAGTTTATATAAGGAGGGTACAACATTATATTATTATACTGCGCCATCTTGGCGCCGACGAAGATGGCGGCCTCGCGACTAGCTCTTAGGAAACTTTGCAGTATTTCTTTTTTTTTTAATGTATTATTTTTTACATTATTAGCTCAGAAAGTGTTTTGCATCATTACATACAGCCGGGAAAAACTTTTGGATATCAGAGCGGCGGTAACTCACCAGCATTACGACCAGGAATACGACTTTCCCGAAGCAGATCCTTTGTTTGCTCTCCCAGGGCAACTGAACTGATTCCAGTGGCTGACCCAAAACATCGCCGGCGGAGGAGAGGCACTCAGAGCGGCCTGCTGGTCTGACTTAGGAGGCGCGCACACCACCCACCGCTTCCAAGTATTCTACTCGCTAATGTTCAATCTTTAGCTAACAAAGTCGACGAACTACGTGCAGGGATTTCTTTCCAGAGAGACATCAAGGGCTGTAACATACTCTGTTTCACGGAAACATGGCTCTCTTGGGATATTCTGTCGGAATCTGTCCAGCCAGATGGGTTCTCAGTTCATCGCGCAGACAGGAATAAATATCTCTCCGGGAAGCAGAAGGGCGGAGGTGTGTGTTTCATGATTAATGACTCGTGGTGTAATTGTAGTAACATAGAGGAACTCGAGTCCTTCTGTTCACCTGACCTAGAATATCTCACAATCAAATGCAGACCGTATTATCTCCCAAGATAATTTTCTTAGGTTATAGTCACGGCCGTGTATATCCACCCTCAAGCCGATACCACGACGGCCCTCAAATAACTTCACTGGACCTTATGCAAACTGGAAACCACATATCCTGAGGCTGCATTTATTGTAGCCGGGGATTTTAACAAAGCAAATTTGAGGACTAGGCTGCCGATGTTCTATCAACATATCGACTGTTGTACTCGCGCTGCTAAAATCCTCAACCATTGCTATTCAAACTTCCGGGATGGTTATAAGGCCCTCCCCCGCCCTCCTTTCGGCAAATCTGACCACGACTCCATTTTGCTTCTCCCTTCCTATAGGCAGAAACTCAAACAGGAAGTACCCGTGCTAAGGACTATTCAATGCTGGTCTGACCAATCGGAATCCACGCTTCAAGATTGTTTTGATCACGCAGACTGGGATATGTTCCGGGTAGCTTCCGAAAATAATTTAGACATATACACTGAAACAGTGACTGAGTTTATCAGGAAGTGTATAGGTGATGTTGTGCCCACTGTGACTATTAAAACCTACCCCTAACCAGAAACCGTGGATAGACGGCAGCATTCACGCAAATCTGAAAGCGCGAACCACCGCATTCAACCATGGCAAGGTGACTTGGAATATGGCAGAATACAAACAGTGTAGCTACTCACTCCGCAAGGCAATTAAACTGGCAAAACATCAGTATAGAGACAAAGTGGAGTCGTAATTCAACGGCTCAGACACGAGACGTATGTGGCAGGGTCTACAGACAATCACGGACTACAAAAAGAAAACCAGCCACGTCGCCGACACCGACGTCTCGCTTCCAGACAAGCTAAACACCTTCTTCGCCCGCTTTGAGGATAACAAAGTGCCACTGACGAGGCCCACTACCAAGGACTGTGGCCTCTCCTTCTCCATGGCCGACGTGATTAAGACATTTAAGCATGTTAACCTCCGCAAGGCTGCCGGCCCAGACGGCATCCCTAGCCGCGTCCTCAGAGCATGCGCAGACCAGCTGGCTGGTGTGTGCATGGACATATTCAAATCTCTCCCTTTCCCAGTTTGCTGTTCCCACATGCTTCAAGAGGGCCACCATTGTTCCTGTACCCAAGAAAGCAAAGGTAACTGAACTAAATGACTATCGCCCTGTAGCACTCACCTCTGTCATCATGAAGTGCTTTGAGAGACTAGTCAAGGATCATATCACCTCTACCTTACCTGTCACCCTAGACCAACTTCAATTTGCCTACCGCCCCAATAGATCCACAGACAATGCAATTGCCATCACACTGCACACTGCCCTATCCCATCTGGACAAGAGGAATACCTATGTAAGAATGCTGTTCATTGACTATAGCTCAGCATTCAACACCATAGTACCCTCCAAGCTCATCATTAAGCTCGAGGCCCTGGGTCTGAACCCCGCCCTGTGCAACTGGGTCCTGGACTTCCTGACGGGCCGCCCCCAGGTGGTGAAGGTAGGAAACAACATCTCCACTTCGCTGATCCTCAACACTGGGGCCCCACAAGGGTGCGTGCTCAGCCCCCTCCTGTACTCCCTGTTCACCCATGACTGCGTGGCCAAGCACGCCAATTAAATCATGAAGTTTGCAGACGACACAACAGTAGTAGGCTTGATTACCAACAATGACGAGACCGCCTACAGGGAGGAGGTGAGGGCTCTGGGAGTGTTTTGCCAGGAAAATAACCTCTCACTCAACATCAACAAAACAAAGGAGATGATCGTTGACTTCAGGAAACAGCAGAGGGTGCACCCCCCTATCCACATCGACGGGACCGCAGTGGAGAAGGTGGAAAGCTTCAAGTTCCTTGGCGTACACATCACCGACAAACTGAAATGGTCCACCCACGCAGACAGTGTGGTGAAGAAGGCGCAACAGAGCCTCTTCAACCTCAGGAGGCTGAAGAAATGTGGCTTATCACCTAAAACCCTCACAAACCTTTACAGATGCACAATTGAGAGCATCCTGTCGGGCTGTATCACCGCCTGGTACGGCAACTGCACCGCCCACAACCGCAGGGCTCTCCAGAGGGTGGTGCGGTCTGCCGAACGCATTACCGGGGGCAAACTACCCGCCCTCCAAGACACATACAGCACCCGATGTCACAGGAAGGCCAAAAAGATCATCAAGGACATCAATCACCCGAGCAAATGCCTGTTCACCCCGCTATCATCCAGAAGGCGAGGTCAGTACAGGTGCATCAAAGCTGGGACCGAGAGAATGAAAAAACGCTTCTATCTCAAGGCCATCAGACTGTTAAATAGCCATCACTAGCACATTAGAGGCTGCTGCTGCCTATTGAAATCACTGGCCACTTAAAGAAATGGAACACTAGTCACTTTAATAATGTTTACATATCTTGCACTACTCATCTCATATGTATATACTGCATTCTATTCTATAATATTATTCTGTATCTTAGTCCATGCCGCTCTGTCATTGCTTGTCCATATATGTACAGTGAGGGAAAAAAGTATTTGATCCCCTGCTGATTTTGTACGTTTGCCCACTGACAAAGACATGATCAGTCTATAATTTTAATGGTAGGTTTATTTGAACAGTGAGACAGAATAACAACAAAAAAATCCAGAAAAACGCATGTCAAAAATTTTATAAATTGATTTGCATTTTAATGAGGGAAATAAATATTTGACCCCTCTGCAAAACATGACTTAGTACTTGGTGGCAAAACCCTTGTTGGCAATCACAGAGGTCAGACGTTTCTTGTAGTTGGCCACCAGGTTTGCACACGTCTCAGGAGGGATTTTGTCCTACTCCTCTTTGCAGATCTTCTCCAAGTCATTAAGGTTTCGACGCTGACGTTTGGCAACTCGAACATTCAGCTCCCTCCACAGATTTTCTATGGGATTAAGGTCTGGAGACTGGCTAGGCCACTCCAGGACCTTAATGTGCTTCTTCTTGAGATGCTCCTTTGTTGCCTTGGCCGTGTGTTTTGGGTCATTGTCATGCTGGAATACCCATCCACGACCCATTTTCAATGCCCTGGCTGAGGGAAGGAGGTTCTCACCCAAGATTTGACAGTACATGGCCCCGTCCATCGTCCCTTTGATGCGGTGAAATTGTCCTGTCTCCTTAGCAGAAAAACACCCCCAAAGCATAATGTTTCCACCTCCATTTTTGACGGTGGGGATGGTGTTCTTGGGGTCATAGGCAGCATTCCTCCTCCTCCAAACACGGCGAGTTGAGTAGATGCCAAAGAGCTCGATTTTGGTCTCATCTGACCACAACACTTTCACCCAGTTCTCTTCTGAATCATTCAGATGTTCATTGGCAAACTTCAGACGGGCCTGTATATGTGCTTTCTTGAGCAGGGGGACCTTGCGGGCGCTGCAGGATTTCAGTCCTTCACGGCGTAGTGTGTTACCAATTGTTTTCTTGGTGACTATGGTCCCAGCTGCATTGAGATCGTTGATAAGATCCTCCCGTTGTAGTTCTGGGCTGATTCCTCACTGTTCTCATGATCATTGCAACTCCACGAGGTGAGATCTTGCATGGAGCCCCAGGCTGAGGGAGATTGACAGTTCTTCTGTGTTTCTTCCATTTGCGAATAATCGCACCAACTGTTGTCACCTTCACACCAAGCTGCTTGGCAATGGTCTTGTAGCCCATTCCAGCCTTGTGTAGGTCTACAATCTTGTCCCTGACATCCTTGGAGAGCTCTTTGGTCTTGGCCATGGTGGAGAGTTTGGAATCTGATTGATTGATTGCTTCTGTGGACAGGTGTATTTTATACAGGCAACAAACTGAGATTAGGAGCACTCCCTTTAAGAGTGTGCTTCTAATCTCAGCTCGTTACCTGTATAAAAGACACCTGGGAGCCCGAAATCTTTCTGATTGAGAGGGGGTCAAATACTTATTTCCCTCATTAAAATGCAAATCAATTTATAACATTTTTGACATGCGTTTTTCTGGATTGTTTTGTTGTTATTCTGTCTCGCACTGTTCAAATAGACCTACCATTAAAATTATAGACTGATCATTTCTTTGTCAGTGGGCAAACATACAAAATCAGCAGGGGATCAAATACTTTTTTCCCTCACTGTATATATTCTTAAATCTCATTCCTTACTTTTTTGTGTGTATTGGGTATATGTTGTGAAATTGTTAGATATTACTGCACTGTCGGAGCTAGTAGCACAAGCATTTCCCTACACCCGCTATAACATCTGCTAAACACATGTATGTGACAAATAACATTTTATTTTATTTATAGATACATGGTTATTCTACAGGTTATATAAGGAGGGTACAGCATGTTTCTACATGCAGATGAACCCTATTGAGAAGCCTACTTCATGTTTTATACAGGATATCAGTTACAGCATGTGTATAAATAGGTTAACCTTACTGCTGTGGTCATGAGCACCATGTAGAAGTTAACAGTTTAAATTGGGTTGATGTGTTCTGCTGAAGTGCACACACATGTTGGCTTCTGGAGGTTGTCAACAGTTGGTTGTGAAAGGTTGCACAGAGGTTGTAAATATGTTGCAGACAGGGCATAGACAGGTAGTAGACATGTTGTACTTTAGACAGACATCACACATACAGTGCCTTCGGAAGGTATTCAGACCCCTTGACTTTTTCACATTTTGTTACGTTAGAGCCTTATTCTAAAATTGATTAAATTGTATTTTTTCCTTCATCAATCTACACATAATACCCCATAATGACAAAGCAAAAACAAGTTTTTATACATTTTTGCATATGTATAAAAAAAAAAAACGGAAATATGACATTTATATAAGTATTCAGACCCTTTACTCAGTACTTTGTTGAAGCACCTTTGGCAGCGATTACAGCCTCGAGTCTTCATGGGTATGACGCTACAAGCTTGGCACACCTGTATTTGGGGAGTTTCTCCCATTCTTCTCTTCAGATCCTCTCAAGCTCTGTCAGGTTGGATGGGGAGCGTCACTGCACAGCTATTTTCAGGTCTCTCTAGAGATGTTTGATCAGGTTCAAGTCCAGGCTCTGGCTGGGCCACTCAAGGACATTGAGACTTGTCCCGAAGCCACTCCTGTGTTGTCTTGGCTGTGTGCTTAGGGTCGTTGTCCTGTTGGAAGGTGAACCTTCGCCCCAGTCTGAGGTCATGAGCGCCCTGGAGCAGGTTTTCATCAAGGATCTCTCTGTACTTTGCTCCGTTCATCTTTCCCTCAATCCCGACTAGTCTCCCAGTCCTTGCTGCTGAAAAACACCCTGCCATCACCATTCTTCATCGTAGGGATGGTGCCAGGTTTCCTCCAGACGTGACGCTTGGCATTCAGGCCAAAGAGTTCAATCTTGGTTTCATCAGACCAGAGAATCTTGTTTCTCATGGTCTGAGAGTCCTTCAGGTGCCTTTTACTGAGGAGTGGCTTCCGTCTGGCCACTCTACCATAAAGGCCTGATTGGTGGAGTGCTGCAGAGATGGTTGTCCTTCTGGAAAGTTCTCCCATCTCCACAGAGGAACTCTGGAGCTCTGTCAGAGTGACCATTTGGTTCTTGGTCACCTCCCTGACCAAGGCCCTTCTCCCCCGATTGCTCAGTTTGGCCAGACGGCCAGCTCTAGGACGAGTCTTGGTGGTTCCAAACTTCTTCCAATTATGAATGATGGAGGCCACGGTGTTCTTGGGGACCTTCAATGCTGCAGAAATGTTTTGGTACCCTTCCCCAGATCTGTGCCTCGACACAATTCTGTCTTGGAGCTCTACGGACAATTCCTTCAACCTCATGGCTTGGTTTTTGCTCTGACATGCACTGTCAACTATGGGACCTTATATAGACAGGTGTGTGCCTTTCCAAATCATGTCCAATCAATTGAATTTACCACAGGTGGACGCCAATCAAGTTGTAGAAACATCTCAAGGATGATCAATAGAAACAGGATTCACCTGAGCTAAATTTCGAGTCTCATAGCAAAGGGTCTGAATATTTATGTAAATAAGGTATTCGGTTTTTAATTTTTAATACATTAGCAAACATTTCTAAAAACCTGTTTTCGCTTTGTCATTATGGGGTATTGTGTGTAGATTGATGAGGAAATGTTTTTATTTAATCCATTTTAGAATAAGGCTGTAACGTAGCAAAATGTGGAAAAAGTCAAGGGGTCTGAATACTTTCTGAATGCACTGTACATTCACTGTAACAAGTACCATGTTGAAGGACACAGATTAAGGGATTCATCCTACTTTGTCCTTACTGTAGTTAATGACCCTCTTATCTAGGTAGCTCTCCTGTTGCTTGGAAACAAATTTGTGGTTACCTTACCTTTTGAGTGTATCAATATTGAAAATAACCTTGTATTCATGTGTGGATTATATGAACTATTTTCTCTGTCCCCCAACCTATCCCCTCTCCACCTGCCCTCCTTTTTCCTTACCTGTCCTCCATCCCATCTCACATGACCTTCAATCTCCCTCCCTCCCTAACTCTTCCTGACCTGTCCCTACCTCCCTCCCCCTCTCCTCCCTCCCTCCAGCCTGGGTGGGGGCTCTGGCGATGGGCATGATCTTCTTCTGTTCCCCGGTGGTCTCCATGTTCACCGATCACTTCGGCTGCATGAAGACAGCTGTGGGCGGGGCCACCATGGCCTTCATCGGACTCCTCAGCACCGCCTTCGCAACGTAAGAGAACCCTCCAAACATTCTAGAATCATTAGAACACTCCACACCTTCTAGAACTATTACAACCCATCTACTCTAGAGCCCTTATAGAACCCTCCACAATCTTATGAACTCTCTTTGTATGTTTTGCCACTCCTTTTGCCTATAATTTCTTTTACAAGTCCTGCCCTCAGTGACCTGAGCATTACACGTTCATGCTAGGGTGTCACAGGCTCTGTTCCCTATATTACTGCTCATAAGGAAGGAATGCATTCAATATATATTCTATTCTAGTTTTGCACAGTGTTTACTTACCGCTACCCCTGCCCGCCCAGGTCTCTCAGCCTGCGGTATTTCACCTATGGGATCCTGTTTGGCTGTGGCTCGTCCTTTGCCTTCCAGCCCTCCCTGGTGATCCTGGGCCACTACTTCCGGCGGCGGCTGGGCCTGGCCAACGGCGTGGTGACGGCTGGCAGCAGCCTGTTCTCCATGGGCCTCCCGGTGCTGCTCACCAAGGTGGTGGAGCCGCTGGGCCTCAGCAGAACCTTCCAGATCCTGAGCCTCTTCATGCTGGTACTTTTGTGATGTGTTCAGTGATCATCCATTACACATTGTTTACATCTTACTGTTAAAAAAAAAAATGATGCGACTCGTTGAAGTAAATGTCAAATTCGACTTTGAACAAGTGTTTATTTTCATTCTTATCAACAAAACAGGTCCAGGCCCTGCTGGCCCTGACCTTCAGACCCCTGCTGCCCCAGGGAGCTCCAATAGGACCACCAGGACCAGGGGGCCCCGTCGGGTCCGCACCCCAGCCAGGAGCCACTGCCCGGGGAAGCCGCTGGAGCAGGACCCTGACCCAGGTCCGGAAGGCCTTTAACCTGAAGGTGTTCCACATCGTTACCTACCGGGTGTGGGCGTTCGGGGTGGCTACGGCCGTGCTGGGTTACTTTGTGCCCTACATCCACTTGGTAAGGGCTCAGGGACCATCAATATAAATTCTTGAAGATTTTACCATGTTCTTGGTATTGTGTTGTATTTAGGGCAACGTTTTCTGCTCGCAAAGACACCTGCGCTGTGAGTGAAATTATAATGATAGAATTATAATAATCTGCAGCACAACTTATGATGTGTAACTTTTCTTTAACAATTTCCATTTAGAATGTTGCTGTGTGTTAGATCACAGCGCAGCTGTTTTTGCAAGGGGAAAATAATGCCGCCCTTACTGCTTTTAGTGTCACCTTGATTGGCATGTTACAGTTTTTTAGTTCACCAAGTCGACTTCAGAGGAAATCTTCTGTAATATTGTGTTGTGTTAGGTTACATTGTGTGTTGGCATAGGTTGTGTCAGACAGACCCACTTATCTAAAATAAGTAGCTAGGGACATTGTTGCATGGAGACCCTTGTCACAGCAATAGAGAGAGAGAGAGAGAGAGAGAGAGAGAGAGAGAGAGAGAGAGAGAGAGAGATAGAGAGAGAGAGAGAGGAGAGAGAGAGAGAGAGAGCTAGAGCTGCTATAGATCAGAGACGATGCGAGTCGATAGCATTCGAGCGCGCGAGCGAGTAGGAGAATCGAGTAGAGATAGCTAGCGGCGATATCTATCGTCAGCTCTCTCTCTCTCTCCCTCCTCGCTTCTCTCCTCTGATAGTCTCTCTGCTATCTCTCTCTCTCTCTCTCTCATCTCCGCTCCTCTCTCTCTCTCTCTCTCTCTCTCTTCTCTCTCTCGCTCTCTCTCTCTCTCTCTCTCTCTCTCATCTCTCGCTTCCTCTCTCCTCCTATCTCGTCTATTCTTAACTCGAGTCTACCGTCAGATGTTTTAGGCCCGTCGCCCCTCCCCCGCCTGTCCTGTTTTCTCAGGCCCAGATGTAAACAAAGCCACCGGCTTTTGTTGTGTGAGCGCCCATGCTGCCAAACTGACTCAGGAAGCTCTTTGCTTTAGGTCAGCCCTAAACATGGGTATCCTATGGCCCTTGATGTTATTCTGGTGCCATGTAGTGCAGTATCAAAGCAGAGGAAACATTTCACATGAACTTGAGAGGGGAGAGAAGCTTCTGGTCAGGAAAGGACTTCAGAGGGTTTTGTGTTTTGGATCAGATTCAGGTGTTCAGAGAAGAGAAGGGAAATCACTCACCTATAGCTCCGTCCCTTCCTGCTTCACTGTGTACAGGTCTTCTGAGGACGTGGATGAAAACATTTGTTATTCCAAAGAATGGTTATGGAAGTTTGGAATGTTATAAGGAGAATAAATTCCAGTTTCTCCATTGAAATCCCTTCACTAAGAATCCCATTGAAATCAATGTCCTCTATGTAAGGTAATTTCAACATGGGAATAACACACATGAAAGAATCCATGATGACATATCAAGAAATTACTACGCCTTTGAGGCGTAATTCTGTGTTTTCTTTGGCTATTTTGTTTGGCTGCTTCCAACCCCTCAAGGTGTGTGTTTCCAGGGGGCTTGGTTTGGCTGCTTCCAACCCCTCAGGGTGTTTGTTTCCAGGGGGCTTGGTTTGGCTGCTTCCAACCCCTCAGGGTGTGTGTTTCCAGGGGGCTTGGTTTGGCTGCTTCCAACCCCTCAGGGTGTGTGTTTCCAGGGGGCTTGGTTTGGCTGCTTCCAACCCCTCAGGGTGTTTGTTTCCAGGGGGCTTGGTTTGGCTGCTTCCAACCCCTCAGGGTGTTTGTTTCCAGGGGGCTTGGTTTGGCTGCTTCCAACCCCTCAGGGTGTTTGTTTCCAGGGGGCTTGGTTTGGCTGCTTCCAACCCCTCAGGGTGTTTGTTTCCAGGGGGGCTTGGTTTGGCTGCTTCCAATCCCTCAGGGTGTGTGTTTCCAGGGGGCTTGGTTTGGCTGCTTCCAACCCCTCAAGGTGTGTGTTTCCAGGGGGCTTGGTTTGGCTGCTTCCAACCCCTCAGGGTGTTTGTTTCCAGGGGGCTTGGTTTGGCTGCTTCCAACCCCTCAGGGTGTTTGTTTCCAGGGGGCTTGGTTTGGCTGCTTCCAACCCTTCAGGGTGTGTTTCCAGGGGGCTTGGTTCGAAAGCAACAAGACACATTTCCGTCATCTTCAATTTAAGCCTACGAGAAAGTGTGTGCCCTCAGGCCTGGAGGGAAGCAAAAGTTATTCCCCTACTAAGAATAGTAAAGCCCCCATAACTGGCTCAAATAGCCAACCAATCAGCTTGTTACCAACCCTTAGTAAACTTTTGGAAAGAATTGTGTTTGACCAGATACAATACTATTTTACAGTAAACAAATTGACAACAGACTTTCAGCACGCTTATAGGGAAGGACATTCAACAAGCACAGCACTTACACAAATGACTGATGATTGGCTGAGAGAAATTGATGATAAAAAGATTGTGGGGGCTGTTTTGTTAGACTTCAGTGTGGCTTTTGACATTATCAATCATAGTCTGTTGCTGGAAAAACGTATGTGTTATGGTTTTACACCCCCTGCTATATTGTGGATAAAGAGTTACCTGTCTAACAGAACACAGAGGGTGTTCTTTAATGGAAGCCTCTCCAACAAAATCCTGGTAGAATCAGGAATTCCCCAGGGCAGCTGTCTAGGCCCCTTACTTTTTTCAATCTTTACTAACGACATGCCACTGTCTTTGAGTAAAGCCAGTGTGTCTATGTATGCGGATGACTCAACACTATACACGTCAGCTACTACAGCGACTAAAATGACTGCAACACTTAACAAAGAGCTGCAGATAGTTTCAGAATGGGTGGCAAGGAATAAGTTAGTCCTAAATATTTCAAAAACTAAAAGCATTGTATTTGGGACAAATCATTCACTAAACCCTAAACCTCAACTAAATCTTGTAATGAATAATGTGGAAATTGAGCAAGTTGAGGAGACTAAACTGCTTGGAGTAACCCTAGATTGTAAACTGTCCTGGTCAAAACATATTGATACAGTAGCTGGGATGGGGAGAAGTCTGTCTATAATAAAGCGCTGCTCTGCCTTCTTAACAGCACAATCAACAAGGCAGGTCCTACAGGCCCTAGTTTTGTCGCACCTGGACTACTGTTCAGTCGTGTATCTATGGGAGGCGCACAGTACTACATAGAGCCATGACTACATGGAACTCTATTCCACATCAAGTAACTCATGCCAGCAATAAAATTAGATTAAAAAAAACAGATAAAAATATACCTTATGGAACAGCGTGGACTGCGAAGCAAAACAAACATGCACATGCATACAAACACACAATAACATACACATGTACACATGGATTTTGTGTTATAGATATGTGGTAGTAGAGTAGGGCACACACTTCATATGTTGTTAAATCTGTTATGAATGTATTGTAATGTTTTTAAAATGTATAACTGCCTTAATCTTGCTGGACCCCAGGAAGAGTAGCTGCTGCCTTGGCAGCAGCTAATGTGGATCCATAATAAATACAAATCTGAAAAGAAAATGGACATTAAATCTTCTTTCCCACCAGATGAACTTTGTGAAGGAGCAGTTCAAGGAGACCCAGAAGGAGTGGATCTTGTTGGTGTGTATAGGAGCCTCATCTGGCGTGGGACGCCTCCTCTTCGGGAAAGTAGGAGACCTCATTCCCGGAGCCAAGAAGATCTGGATGCAGGTGAGGTAACCCTCTTCAGCATCCCATTGTCAGCCTAATTTTATCCAATTCAGATTTTAAATATCAGTTAGCACATCAGCCACGTCCCACATTTCCCATGAATGGTGATGGCTACTACATACTTCAAATCTATTACTATTTCTGGTCAAATCCATAGGTCAAATACTTGCTGCTCTTGATTTAGTTGTCCCCGTAAAATGGAACCAATGGAGTTGTTTGAAAGTATTTGACATGGATTTGACCCAAGTCAGTTGCTTTGTAGTTTCTGTATGAAGTGGAACAGTGTATAAGGGAAAAGGTGTCAGTCTGGAGAGATGTATTGGACAACATTAACCTAAGACAACTCTCTCTGACACGTTACACAATGCCAGTGTACTGTAAGTCACTTTGGATAAAAACGTCTGCTTAATGGCATTAATTATTATGTCTTTATTATATTGTCTCTGCTCTTCTCTCCCCCAGTCGGTGTCGTTCATGGTGCTGGGGCTGATGTCCATGATGATCCCCCAGTGCACGGTGTTCGAGGGGCTGATCGTGGTGTGTGTGTTCCTGGGGCTGTGTGACGGCTGCTTCATCACCATCATGGCTCCTATAGCCTTCGAGCTGGTGGGCCCCATGCAGGCCTCCCAGGCTATAGGATACCTACTGGGACTCATGGCCCTGCCCATGACCGCAGGACCCCCCATCGCTGGTGAGTACTATCGGTTCCTCAGTTTACTAAATGCTGACCTCAAAGATTTTGAATGGCAGGTGATAAAGAGATGGTTGACTGCTATGTGACAGGCAATTGATACTGAGTATCACCTCAAAACTTTGGAGTGGAAGCCAAGGTGATAAAAATATGGTTGGTTTCTCTTCAACAGGATCTGAAAAGAAATGTATCTTCAATTGAGAAAAGTCAGGTCTGTAGCTAGCATAGTAGTACCATATAAGTCCTTTGAGGATAGCCACATTCCATAAGGAATTATAAACAGGGTAGGATTAGGATAATGTTTATCATGCCGTTGAGCTGACATGTCTCAGCCATATACATACGTATATTCACTGTATTTATGTACGTCATTGGTCTTAGCTCCGAATGTAGCTGGTCTATAGAGTAAATAGAGTGAGGTCTCATCCCAAATTGCACCCTATTCCCTTTATAGTGCACCCCATAGTGCAGGGCCCATAGAGCTATGGTCAAAAGGAGTGCACTATATAGGGAATAGGGTGCCATTTGGGGCGCACACTGAATAAAGTGGCCGAGTTCCAGGGCTGGTGATTTGTTACAGAGGGAATAAGATACAGAGGTAGTAGTAGTCTCGGATAGCGGATAGTTTAGCGATGGGTTGTTGACACTATGGCTGCATTTTTGGGGCTCTGCCACTCTTCACTGCCATCTTTCAGGCTCCACCGCCACTCCCCACATTCCTGTTCAGACCACCAGGGTGCTGTTCAGAGGGATGCAATGATTCTGATAGAAATGTATTACGTAGAACAAATATCATCAGTCATGTTGAAAAGGGAGTCATTTCAGGGAGTCTGTGTCTGTGCAACATTCAGAATAGTTTCCTCTGGCTGAATACACTCCAGAGGTCACAGTGAGGAGGAGGAATCCTGCCCCATCAGTCTGCAGCAGGAGCACCCAGACTGGACATAAGTCTGTCTGCTCGCCTCTCTGCATACCTGGGTTGAAATAGTATTCGATTTATTTTATGTACTTTGAGCTTTGCTTGAGTCTGCCTTGAGTGCCAGATGTGCAGGGCTTGTATGCTGCACTTTAGTGGACTATTCCATTGGTTACATCACGCCAGGCAAGCTCAATCAAGAACGGCTAAAGTATTTGAAAGATTCAGAATAGTATTTGAAACCAGGTCTGTCTCCCGGATCGGCTTCCTTCTCAGAGCCTCAATGTTCTGTATTATCATTGCGTCCTGTGAGGCCTGGCTGAATCTCTCTCTCTGCTTAGTTCCAGATGTTGGAGGAGTTATCTATCTTGTTTTCAGGTCTTGTTTATGGCAGGCCCACTTAGCTAGCTAGCACCTGACTGAATATTTTGGCCGGGGTTGCCCATCACCCTGGACACAAAGTAGACACACTTTACTGAGGATTTGTTTTACAAAATGTTCCCCAATCTAGTGGTAGTCATGGTTTCTATGGTTACCCTATAATAATAAAGCGTCTGACTGGCATTTCTTAGTCCACATTCACTCTTCACACATACAGAGCAACATTTTGGACTGCAAGGTATTGTTTCTTGGAAGAACAGGCAAACCGCTAAACTGACTTGAACAATCTCTCACAGTGAGTAGAGATGCAGATGCTGTACCACCTGACAGCCCTCGAGACTAATAAACTATTTCTTATCTTCTTAGACATTTTTATGACCGCTAATTATTAGTTCTGAGCTAGTTCCTGGAAGTAAAACAGACAAACAGGTAAAACAACTTGAATCACCAAGATAGTGGGTGAATCTCAAAGCACATTGGAGCAAAATATCTAAAGCTCCTCCCCACAGATCTTCTCCACCAATGAATTTTGAGAAAGAGGCGTTGAGAGTGGACACGAGGAATCAAGGAAATACAATTGAGATTCGCTCAGTGATTCTCTCTTGAATAACGAGTAGTGGTTCTATACACTACATCTGAAACCTCTCCCTCCCTTGTCCCCCAGGACTCCTGCGTGACTACTGTGGTGATTACAACATGGCCTTCTACCTGGCAGGGTGCCCTCCCATCGTGGGGGGCATGGTGCTGTTCTTTGTGCCCCTGATACACCGGCGGCAGCAGAGAAAATTTGAGGGCCAGGGTGGGGGGCCGGAGGACCCCAGCACAGGTCACATGCTGCCCCCGGCAGGGGGCCCCAAGGCCTGCTCTAACGGAGACATGCTGCCTGGATACACCGACGTGGAGACACACATCTGAGTAGCACTACACAAAGGTATGAGAGGGGAGATGTGTGTGTGTGTACACACACGAAGGCATGCATGCACACACACACACACACACACACAATGATCCTTGATTGAAATCTTCTCATGTTTTCGTTCTTCCTTCTCTCAGGGATTCTATTCACCAGCACTTGAGATCTGTCCGTCCCTGCACCTCCTCCTTTCCCCCGGCCCCTGACCCCTGACCCCCGGCCCCTAACCACGGACTACCTGCTGATGTACCTCTCAACCTCTGACACAGTTTCTATAGGAAGCCCCCTCCTGTCTATAGGAACCCCCCTCCTCTCCGAACGCCATTAGTTCCTTATAGTGGTCCCTGTGGTCTACGGAGAGAGGGGAAGAAGGTTTTTTTTGCCCTCTGAAGCAAAGGAGGACACATCGCTGACCAACCTCCTTGAACAAAGAGGGAGACGATTGGCATCATCATAGGACCTGGGCGTCACACAATCCAAAACAGTGTTCTCTTTCCCTATGGCTTTAAGCTCATCTAAAATGGTTTTAGGCTTAAAAACGTGAATGCACACTAAGTGTGTACCATATAGAGCTGGCCGCCTGAAAAAAAGTATTTTTTAAATCCTGTAGCGTCTGGAATCAGAGTATGTAAATTATTTAATATGCTTCAGTAGGTTTTTAAATGACAAATTATTCAGAAAGATAAACAGTAATAGAGTAATTGAATGGAGTACGTTGTTCTTCTCTGTCTAGACCACAAGCATCTCACACTTTATTTCATGTCATATGTTCCTTCTGTCTGTAGGTGTTTCATTAGATAGGTCTAGGGCATAAAATAGGACATTTGAAAGATTTCAGTTATAATGACAACTTATTGCAGTTACATTTTACAAGTCTAAATTTATTTTGTTTATGATTGATCAAGGAAGAACACATACTGTATCAGTTTTGTATTATACTATAGGTCTCCATGGTGATTCCCCCTTGGAAAAGCCACTAAAATGAAATCACCTCAACCACATACGTACTTATGCAGTTTTTCCATATGTAACCCGTGCCATGGTGGTGCTACGGATCGAGAGCGCCAGACCAGACAGAACAGATTATTTACCAGCTTCAGACTTTGTAGTCTTAAATCTATTTTTGTAACAGTTACATTTCTAAGTCTTTAAGTCAATCAGATCTTTTTCATATACAATTTTAATTGAAAGTAAATAAATCTCTCTGAGATGTTTTGCCAATATTTTCTTTACTCTGCAGATTTGTTTTTATTGTTTTAAGTTTCTAAACGTTTTTTATTTGTTTTTACCATCTGTTTCTTACAATGGCATTGTGATCTTGTTATTCCCATGTGGTTGAATCCTAACTTCCACTTTGAGACTGTGAAAATTCAACTTAAGTGAAATGTTGACTTATTAAGTTAGGATTCACCCCATTGTCAGTCAAGAATTGAGCCATAGGTCTCGACGGTCCGTTGTCTGAAATCTAGCGACGCTAATAATTATAATTAATTAACCACTGATATACAGTAGTTGAGAAATAAGACTGGTAGTTTATTAGAAAGAAAAATTACCTTTAGTCTGCCAGGTTTTTTTGTAAACAATCAAAATCTACATTAAGGGCATTGAGCTTAATTGTGAATCGAAAGGCCATAGTTTTTGCTGTGTGTGTGTGGATTTGTGTTTGTGTGTGTGTGTGTTAGTTTGGGCATTGATCCACAGACCACAGAATGATTGCCATTACATGCATGCACTCATTGGCTAGATCCTTTTTTCAGCCTGATCCCCATTGGTCCACATCAAACTGATGACTCTTTGTTGATGAGTTTGCTGCTTCTTATCTTCAGATGACATACTGGTTGTTGGGGTCATACGTCGTCACGGTAATAACCAGATACTGCCTCATGGAGATTTTCACTCTAGTAGAGAAATTCATTAAATTGCAGTTGCTGTTACGGTTCGTAAATGTTAAACAGACCACTTACCTCCTTGAGATTACATTTTCCGCACAACAGAAAGGTTGAATAGTCCACCACTTTTGACCAGAGCCCTATGGTCACTGGTCAAAAGTACCGCACTATTAAGGGAATAGGGTGCCATTTGGGACACAGTATAGGCCTAATGGAGGACAGAGAGGGAAACCGAGAGAGGACAAAGACGTCAACACCTCAGTAATCTAGTTAAATATGTTGGCGTTCTTCAAATCATGACATCATACTTCCAAGTGAAATGAAATGGTTGCTATTTTTTTTTCTACAGCTGTTAGCTTCAGCGCCACAGTGCTGCACATACCGCCAAAAACATCCAAAAAAACTATTCTCAATCTACAATACTTCACTCCAATTATTAATACTCGTTAGTACTTATGTGTGTGTGTGTCTGTCTGTGTGTTCACTGTTTGTGTTTCTGTGTGTGTTCGCTGTGTCTGTGTGTGTGTCAGTGTGTGGGTGTGCACTCAGATTTATGAGATTTACCTTCCCTCTCCCCCATCTGGCCATACTTTTTAAACTCTTTCTTTTTCCTTCCTGCTGCTCTAAATGTCATTCCCTCTGACAGTTCAGTCCCAGTCATATAATATAGCTATTATCACTATGGTCCCAGCCTCCATTAAGGCTGCATACTGAGTGGACTAGGGTCACCCGGTTATCTCTACTCTTACTGTTACCTCATTAAGTTCCTCCGTCTCTTCTCTCTTCTGTTGAGCTCACCGCCATGCTGCTCCTATATCTCCTATAGTTGGTCTGAAAGCCTGCTAGCTCACCATGCATTATCATCCTTAGGCTATAGAGGAAAAGAGGAAACCTTGTTTGATCAAGCAAGCTGTAATACAACATGTACTTTTTGATCATTCATTTTGATCATTCTCCTATAGTTGGTCAGAGAGCTTGTTGTCTCTAGCCTGGTTAAACCAGATTGAACCATTTGTGAGTGCAGCATTCAGTCTGGTCCACCAGGCAATGCTGCTGGCTCACCAAACATTGTTATCTTTATACGGTAGATGCAGAGTAAACTGTGCTGTTTGCCATCTGTAAGCAAACACTACAAGACTTTTGATCATTCTCGTTTAGTTTGGCAGTTGTCATTGTTCTGTTTGTGTTTTGATGACATAGGCTATTGAAATATTAGATTTTTAACTACTGAGATGGAAAGGAGAGGTTCATGACTGATAGTGAAACATGCAGCCTTCATGGTGTTGTTTGCTAGTCAAAGTCCTGTTGTCTATGCAGCCTTGGTGGCCCACCGGGGACAGTGGTTTCTGAGTGGGCAGTAGTGCAGATTGCACCCTAAATCTCTAGGCCCTGTACCAGTTCAAGGACCGGTCACATGTTACATAGGCTTACATGAGAGTACAATCTCATCATAAATCTACATATTTACACAGCTTAAATAACTACTTTTTGTTTATTTGATGTTTCCTAATATTGTTGGTATTTTATTTGTATCTCGCCCCATAGCATTCTAAACCAGTGATCTTTTGGGAGTTTTCTCCCATTTTTCTTTTGTCAAGATGCATTTTTTTTGTCCAATCCAGCCCAGTGTGTGTTCGACAGGGCTGTTAGATAAGGTCAGATACAGTCTTCTTTCTGTTACATCCTTGGTCTGGTGTACACCATGCCTCTGTTACATCCTTGGTCTGGTGTACACCATGCCTCTGTTACATCCTTGGTCTGGTGTACACCATGCCTCTGTTACATCCTTGGTCTGGTGTACACCATGCCTCTGTTACATCCTTGGTCTGGTGGACTACTTTTGACCAGAGCCTTATGGACCCTGGTCAAAAAAAGCACGCTATATAGGGAATAGGGTGCCATTTGGGATGTATCCCATGTCTGTATACTTCTGACCCCACCTGTCTACCTTACCTACAGTCTCTTCTTCTATAGCTTTTGCTGTATCACCCATAGACTGTACACCACCCTGACTGTATCACCTGTAGACTGGTCATCACCCTGACTGTATCACCCATAGACTGTACACCACCTTGACTGTATCACCCGTATATTGGTCATCACCCTGACTGTATCACCCATATAATGTACATCACCCTGACTGTATCACCCGTAGACTGGTCATCACCCTGACTGTATCACTCGTAGACTGACTGTGCATCCCCCTGACTGTATCACCCATAGACTATATCACCCTGACTGTATCACCCGTAGACTGTACATCACCCTGACTGTGCTGCTCTTGTTTAATCTTTTAACTCATCTCTCCCTCTGTTATCTTTTGTGCAATGTTTCTGCTGTTATTTTCATCACAATTCTCACCTCAGATTTTCTACCAACTGTCACCAATCTTTTCCTGAACCTCAACTTTTCAGATATATATTTTTCGTTGTATTTTTTCAAGAAATGTTATAACAATAGGAATCACAATATTTGAAATGAAGACTTATGCTGCTAGATAAATGTAATTTTTTTGGTGACGTTATTTTGGATCTGTAGTAAAACACAATTTGTTATCGTTTTCTATTAAACCAACAATAAATGTTTAATATGATGAGAACTGCATGAGTTTTCTTTGGCCAGCTGAGTAAAACCATCCACCACATTATTATACTGTGTGCCTCATGATATAGCATACTGCCTGTAACACTGTGTGTGTGTGTGTGTGTGTGTGTGTGTGTGTGTGTGTGTGTGTGTTGAACATTATGGTGTATATTAGCTGCCCCTTGACTAACTGCCATGTTTGCATATGGTCTAGTTTAAATGATGTAATATTACGTTAGGTCTGACTAATTGGGAAACAGTGTATATGTTAGCCCTGTGACTAACTGCCATATTCGCATATGAACATAGTTTAGTTAGGTCCAACAGTAGCTATGACTCTATTACCATAAATGTGTTATGTGATGTTAAATGATGTGATGTTCTTTTAGCTCGGTCTCAGTATGACTCAGGGGGAAATTAAATGATGCTTATGTTATCCGGCCCCCGACTGCCATATATTTCCATATGAACACGGCTCAGTGCACCAGGCGTCAAGCTGTTGGCTGCGTCCCAAATGGCAGCCTATTCCTTTATAGTGCACGACTATTGACCAGGGCCCATAGGGTGCACTATATAGGGAATAGGGTGCCATTTGGACTTGTGTGTGTGTGTCTGTGCGTTCACTGTTTGTGTTTCTGTGTGTGTTCGCTGTGTCTGTGTGTGCAGACGTTCGCTCCCTCTGCTCCCCGCTCTCCCATTTGACCCACTTTACTCACTCAGCAGTCAATCGGCCA